CCAGGCAGGGATGCAGAGAAWGCCCGGGGAGAGATGCGGGCAGTGCCCAGGAGGGAAGGAGGCAGCGCCTGGGAAAGGAGGCAGGGAATGCCCAGAGCGAGCCGCAGGAATCCAGCTGAGACACCGGCTTCTCCCGGGGCTCTGGGGAGGCGCCGACGGGAAAAGACCCTCCCATGTCCCCCCTGCAGTGTGCTGGGTGCAGCGCCGTCACCCCTTCCCTCCCCGGCGCTCTCACGCCCACCCCGTGCGAGCCCCCSGGGCCGGAGCCCTTCGGGGGAGGGGGGCAGGAGCCTCCCCGGAGCCTTTCCYTCCTCCGACACCGCTGCTCGCTGTGCTCTCGGGCACATCACCTGCTCCGGTGCCAGCCCCCGGCCCGCGGGCAGGGCTGGGGGGTTCTCCGTGCCCGGGGGGGACGCTCAGCCCTGGGCGGTGCGGGCCCCACCAAGGGAGGGACATTTCTGTTGCAGCGCCCGCATTTTTGGGTCACCCCGCTCGGAGCGTTTACCTGCGCGCTGGACGGAGGGAAGACGCCGGCTGCACCTCCGGGAACATGGTCCAGGCCCCCGGGACACGCTGCTGATGGACTCCCTGCACCCCTCTGCTCCTCCAAGCACACCCCAAAGCCCAGCCCGGCTCGCTGTGACACCAGCGAGCGCCGAGGTGTCTCCACAGGTCTGGCTGCGACCACACGGGCTTGGCTGAGCCCGAGCACCGGCGATAGCTCGGCCGGGCCCCCCCCAGCCTCGTCAGCACCTTTGGCTGGGAAAAAAAATCACCTCCGGGGGCTCCTCTCCAGGATGGGGAGGGGGTGCAAGCGGAAACGCAATGCCATATCCTCCCCCGGGGGACAGGGGGACGGTAGACACAGCCCCGCGGCTGGGGAGGGGACAAGGGCAGCTGGCAAAATGCGGGACAGCCTTTGTGGCACCCTGGCATCAGCGCCAGGCAAAGGGGGTCACAGCCCCCCGGCCGTGCCCCGGGTTACACCCGGACTACCCGAGATCCGGGGGTTATTTCCCTGCAGAGCTGCCCGATGCTCGCAGAAAGGGAATATTTTTGTGTCCCAGGGTTATTGCCAGCCCTAAGCGCCGCTCCCCTTCCCCGCATAACCATAAAGCGCTCCCGAACCCTGGAATGTTTCTCGGGGACGGCAGGGATCGGGCTGCACATGAACTCTCCCGCACAATTCAGGCTCCAGCCTCGGGGCTATTTTTAGCAGCTCCCTCCGAGATGCTCTTCAATTGCAGTTTTATGTGTGAAATTTAATATACGAGGAGCGGGGGGAGGGGATTGGGGTTGGATCGCGGCACGTCCCTGCTGGCTGGGAGGTTTATCCCAGTCTCAGCGACAGCAGTCCGATGCAAACCTCAAATCCTCCGTCCGAGAGAGCTCCTGGGTCCTGGTGCGCAGGTGGCAGCAAGGGACAAGCAGAGCTGGTGGCTGTGGTCAGCCCCTCTCCCGGCCAGATCCAAAATCCTCACCCGAGTTCCTGCCTGCCCCCAAAGCCACCACGGGCTCAGGGACTGTCACCCAGTGCTGGCCCTGAACACACACCCTGGCTCAGGGCAGGATGGGTGTGAGGCCAGTGGGAGCAGAGGGGATTTTGGGGAGCCCACCCAGCACAGTGGGGCTGGCCCCAGCTCCAGCCAGAGCTGCAAGGAACAGCTCAGGAGGTGCCTGTCCCACAGCGTGGGGCTCAGGAACAGATAAGGCTGTGGGGACCATCCCCCCATGGCAGTTCCCATTGTCACCTGTGTCCCCTGAGCCCCAAGGGCTGACAGTGCTGGCTTGGTGTCCCTGTGAGTGCATCTGCAAACCCACAGCAGCAACAAAAACGAATTTCTTTTCGAGGAGCCCCTGGCAGAAGAGGGAGGAGGAAGAACCCCTTCCCTTTGCCACAGGACACGAAGGGACAGCAGCTGACCGGGCAGAGCCCCGAGCAGCCCAAAGCAGCTTTTGCTCCTGTAGGGCCCAACGCTGCTCCAGGTTMATCCTCAGGGAATGACAATCCCATCCCATCAGGGATACACGACAGCCAGATCAGTGACCCCAAACCAGCCTGTCACTGTCAACATTCAGACCTGCTTCCAAGATAAAACCATTCCAGTGCAGGGCAACATGGGTTGATATGGTGCATGTCCTTCACAGAGAGTGGAAATTCCCAAAAATCCAGGTGCTGCTAAGCCAARGCTGGGCAGGGTGAGGGAAAATGTTACGCTGTTCCACAGCAACACCCCCCAAACCTGCTGCTTATTCTGTTGTGTTTCTGGCCACTTCAAGGACTGAGTTTGGAGCTGCCTGAGCTTGGCAGGTACAGGTTTTGCCGCCCAACCCATCTGGCTCAAGACAGGACCAGCGATGGCAAAACCCTCTGGAAAACAGCAGCACCAGAGCAAAGCGATCCAAACACAGCCCCGACTGCCAGCATTTTATCATCTCACCACAGGGAAAACAGGTCACGCTCCACACGGCCCACCTGCGGCCCCAGAAGGGCTAAAAGGGCTACATCCATCTTCTGCTCCTCATCTGAGGCTGTCCCTGCTGCCCTTTGAGGTGAGGAGAAGCAGCAGGTAGAGGACCAGGAAAATGTGCTGCCTCCTGCCCCTACAAGCCCCTAATTTGGGGGGGTCTGGGTGATGGAAAAAGAAGCTCAGTGAGCAAATAGTCTCCTTCCAACCAAAGCCAGCCTTCAGCCCTGCTGCTCCCCAGCATCAGGGGAACGGCTGCTGTCCCCATTCCCACAGAGCCACACGCAGCCAGAGCCTCGTGGAAATGAGTTTTATTGACACGGAGGGCAGAAAAAAGCCTGAAGAGCAACACCACGCACGCACGGCGAACACTCGAACGAGCAGGGGCGGAGGGAACGGCACCGACGAGCCCAGGGGGTGAGAAACCCACCCGAAAGGCTGGGAGGGAATTGGGCAAGAGAAGGGGGTGCTCAGCAGCCCCTCCCCACGTCGAAGCTACGCTTTCCTCCCTGCCCCATCGCACTCGGTGCACTGGTGCTTCCTTAATTGCTCTGTTAATGATTTTAACGCTATGCCCGCAGGGCTCAGCACAAATCACCTCCCGGCACACGTGGAAGGGCTCAAGGGCTGCTTTGCTCCAGCTCTGCCCCACTTTTTTCCCCCCTCAGCCAGAGCACAGGGGTTCCTACACACGGACACCACCTTCCTCAGGGTCCTGCAGCTCCTGGGCCCCGCTGGAGTCTCTCCCAGGACACTGTGACCTTTTCCCAGCACTGGTTTCTTGGCTGCAGTCAGTGCCAGAGCCCTGATGAACGATCTCCCACCGTGAAACATTTACTGACTTTGAAAGTGGCATCTAAAAGGACGACATGGGGGGGTTGCTACACGCAGGAGCTTTGTTAGCTGGGGAGGAGATGTCCAAGCATGCTGGGGAGGGYGAAGCTGCTCTGGGTTGGGGCTTGGATTAAGCAGGACAAGCTCTGGATAGAGCAGGGACATGCAAGAGGCTTTGCTTTCACTGCTGCTGCTGTGAATGGTTGCAATGGGACGAGTCCAGCTGGAAGGGAAACAATCCCAGGTTGGAAAAGAGGGGCCAGGGCATGGGGCTGCTCRGGACAGGGACTGRGAGCAGGGACTTGGCTGGCTCTGGCCACCGAGTGTCTCTGAGCACAGAGAGCAGAGCTGCCAGTGGTCCCATGGCTGGGTAAGTCCAGGCTTTGGCTCGGTGGGATATCAGGGTTAAATCCATAMAAACACCTATCTCAGGGCTGACCTCCCTGCTGCTCTTCTTTGTGGGTCAAAAGTCCTGCACTGGCCCCATTTGGGGGGTTAAGGAAGAGGGGTCATGGCAGCAGAGCAGGATTGCTGCATTTCCAACAGGAAACGCTTCCATGACCTGCTCCACTCAGCTGAAGGCTCCCGGCAGGCAGGGAGCAAACACTGCCAWGCCCAAACCATCTCCCACCATGGCCCAGCCTGGGTTTTGGGAACAGCACGGGAATGGGGAGAGCTGCTCTGCTCCCCTGGCACCCTGGGGCACTGCCAGCAGCGGCCCCTCTCCGTAGGGACCCGGCTGGTACCTGCAGCCCTGGCAGGGAACAGTTTGGATGGGCCACCAGGAGCCTTGGGAATTGCCACTGGGAGAAGGGGACACAGCTCAGGGATGGCTGAGAAGGCAGGCACGGCAAGAACGGGAGGAAGAGGGGCTGCAGATGGGTGAGGATGCAGGGACCATGCCTGGAGCTCTGGCACGAGCCTCTCGCCCTAAGAACTGACTCATTTTCCTTCCCTTCATCCACCCCTGCCCTGTCACCCCTCCAGGCCTTCCTCCCCACATAAAAGCAGCCTCACTCCACGGATCAGCAGCTCAGGAGCCAGGGAGTGAAAACACCATCGAAGCAGGGCCAGGAGTAACAAAACCCCCTGTTTAGGGCTCCATCCCCCTCCTGCACCCAGCTGATTGCTCTGCTCCTAATTCCCCAAGGCTGTGCTCGCCCTGCTAGAGCCCCACATCCCTGCCAGGCTCCCAAGACTTCCTCGGAATCGCCTTCCCTTTGAGCCAATTACAATAGAAAAACTCAAAAAAAGAAAATGTATAAAAAATATAAAGTGCTGTGTTAGGTTTTTGACACTTTTGCCTTGTTTTAATGAGCGGACGTGTGGTTTTTGCTCGGTGTTTTTTTTTTGTTTTTCCAATGAGCGGTTATTTTTACAAAATCGAAACTACACCTAAAGCCATTTAGAAAACACTGAACATTGGCACAAAATGGAGAGAAGCCCACGAGAACGGATGAGTGAGGGGYGAGGGGGACACGGGAGTAGTTCGAAGCAGTGGTTACAAACTCCATGGACGCTAAAAATACCAAAGGGGTTTGTTCCCTATCATCGTTAGCACGTGGATACTAATTGCTACCTTGTTTTAATCAGTGCCTTTGACTGAAATCCTACACATGAATACAGCTGCTTCCAGTTAGGAGTGCTTTTCCCCCGCGCTGGCGGTGAAGGAGGCTCCGGGGACCCCTTTTTTCCCCCCCTCCTCCTGCAGGGTGAGGCACAGGCTCCATCTCCTGTTAGTTTTTCAAGATGGCATCGTAGGCCTGGTAGATGTACTGGGACACTTCTGGAGCTCGGCATTTCAGGGAGAGCTGTGGAGAGGAGAGGAGAGGAGAGGAGAGGTCAGTGCTGGGGCAGAGGGAGGCAGGAGATTCCTGCCACCTGCACAAAGGCAGCTGAGAATGGGTTGGACATTAATGATGAGAGTCACACAGACTATTTCTCCTGCTTTCTCCATCACCAACCCCAAACTGCCTTCTCAGAGCTTCTCTRCAAGGAGGATGAGGAAAACAAAAGCAAAGTCCTGCTGTAGGGGTCCCAAATTCCTCAGCAAATGTAGGTGGGGCAAGGAGGAAGGATAGGGACACGGCCCCAAACTGAGACAGGGGACCTGTGGCTTGTCCTGTAAATCACAGCACTGAACCCAAAGGCTTCTGAGGATGTGCTGCTCTGATGGACACAAACTTGGCTGTGGCTCCTCTCTAAAGCAAACATCAGGCTGAGAGGGGGCTTGCAGCACCAAACCTTGTGCAAACATTTTAAATCACCTTCTGACTGTTCACCCCCAGCTCCGCAGACCATGGCACATCTCCTGGCACAGCTTCCAACAGGAGATAAATCCTCTCATACCAGAGACACAAAGGTCCCTCAGAAGGGCAAGGGAAGTCAGAGGGAAGAATCCCAGGGGAGCATGAGGCAGGAGAGAGCACCTTCCCCCAGCCACAGGGCCACAGCCAGCCGGGAACACGGCGGGGCATAAATTCCCCCTTGTCTGGAGGAGGGGGAAGGGCACCCTGGCAATGCTTCCTCACTAAAATCTCTTGGCTTTATMTCTGGGTAACCTTGGCAAGTGACTGCTCATCGCTGAGCAGGCACTGTCCCAGCTCGCTGGTGACAGAGCAGGGGGAGTTCTGTCGCTCCTCACTTTTCCTGTGTTGGGAATTAACGGGATCTCCCTCCAAAGAGATTCCTCCAAATTAACGGGATCTCCCTCCAAGCAGATCCCTCCAAATCATTGGGATCTCCCCCCAAACAGATCCCTCCAAATTAACGGGGTCTCCCTCCAAGCAGATCCCTCCAAATTAATGGGATCTCCCTCCAAACACATCCCTTCAAATTAATGGGATCTCCCCCAAACACATCCCTCCAAATTAACGGGATCTCCCTCCAAGCAGATCCCTCCAAATTAACGGGATCTCCCTTTGAACAGATGTCTCCAAATTAATGTGCTCTCCCCCCAAACAGATCCCTCCAAATTAACAGGATCTCCCTCCAAATTAACGGGATCTCCCTCCAAACAGATCCTTCCAAATTAACGGGATCTCCCTCCATTCAGATCCCTCCAAATTAACGGGATCTCCTTTTGAACAGATGTCTCCAAATTAATGTGCTCTCCCTCCAAATTAACGGGATCTCCCTCCAAACAGATCCCTCCAAATTAACGGGATCTCCCTCCAAACAGATCCCTCCAAACTAATAGGATCTCCCTCTGAACAGATGCCCCCAAATTAACAGATTCTCCCTCCCAAAAGCTCATCGGAGCAGGGAGGAGCAGCACCCCAGGCTGTGCCATGCCCTGGGCCACCTCACCGTGTAGTTGGGGTTGCCGGGCTGGATGCGGAGCTCAGCCAGGATCCAGATGCCATTGGTGAGTTTCAGAGATTGGTAGAGCATGTCCTGCCCCTCCACGTTCCTCTTGGCRATGGTGTAGACGTTGTTGTTCTGCAGTTTGCTGGAGACAGTGTCTTTGGAGAGGGGGAAAAAAAATACAGCTGTTAATTCAGATCCGTCATCTGCAGAGACAGGAGAGCCCGGAGGAGCGTTCCCAGGGTGCAGGCTGGCTCCTTCCCCGGGGAYAGGAGCACACATGACACAGGGAGAAAAAAATTCCAGTTCTTTTCATGGAYCCACCTCATTCCTTTCAGGCTGTGATGTCTTGATAAGGATTTGAGTGTTTAGAGGGGTTTCACTCACTGCTCTGGGTCACTCAGGACTGAGCAAGGTGACATGGTCAAGGCAGCACCGAAAGGAAGAGGACCCTGCTTGATCTACAACCCCCAGCCAGCTGCAGGCAGCCAGAAAATCAGGAGATGAAGGTGGGAAAGAACAAAGATCACTGCCCGAGGCTTGCTCAGCTTCTGACATTCTGTCCCAAACATGAGAGCTCCCTCCTGCTTCCCTCACACACACACACTTCTGGCCACATCAGCGTCCTACAAAGCAGTATAAACCCTTTCCTTTTTTAACAGCAATTACTTGAAAGGGTAAAACCCCCCCAGACACTCTCTCCAGATATTACAGGGCTGTGGTGCAGTTCTAACACACAGCCTGACCTCAGCCCTCGCAGGTGAGGTGTGATTTCACCTGCACACCTGGCTGGGTGTCACCGTCACTCACGGTGATTTCTAAGAGACTTTTGGAAGAAACCACAACAGGCAAACATGCAGAACACCAGGACCCCAAACCAGCAGCTCCTGGATGCCAAAAAGTTTCTCAGCATAAAGCAGAGCAAACATCAGGCTGGGGATGCCATGCTTTGGGTGCAAGATTTCACACCTTCACTGGCAAATTCCCATTCCTGGTGCCCAAAAGGAGAAATTTAATTCCCTGCTGGGGYAGGGGGAACACTTTGAGCTGGGGCATTCAGAGCAGGTTGGGCACTACTGACCAAATCCAAGGGAGAGAAACAGCCTTAAACCAACTTGCACTGAAAGGCCAAGGACTGGAAATGTGGGATCCATATCGAGGAGCAGGAGAACAGCAGAGAAGCAGCAGGAAAGGACCACGCAGCTCTAATCCATCCCTGCATCTACACAGATCCACTGCTGCCGGATTTGGGAATGGACATAAGTCTGGTGCACAGAGGGGTTAGAGAGAGGTCTGTCCATGCACAGAAGGAGGAAGCAAAGGGCCCTACAAATCCATCCCCTGATGCAGACACTGGGATGTGCAGACACTGGGATGTGCTGCCTCTCCCCAGGGCAGCCTGGACTCTTCCCTGAACCCCTTTGCTCCCCAGATTCCAGAGCAGCTCCCTGCAGGTCGAGGATGGTTCAGGCATCCAGCCACCCAGACACACTCAGATTTAGGTTTCCTCTCTTCCCCAGTTACTATGGAAACTGGCAGATATATGTAACTAATGAGATCTTTTGCTTAAAACCCCTCATTCCCCGTCTCCTCCTCCCACCCATACTCCTCCTCTACACAAAAAACTCACTCAGACTTGGGAGATGGGCAGTGCACAGCGGTCCCCTGCTCACAGGGAGCGTGGCTGGGATTCATCCAAGCTTGGAGGAGCATCACTCACCAGGGATGAAGCCCAAATTCCCACATCCTCCTGCCCCCAGCCACGAGAGCAGCTCCAAGACTTTGGGAAGTCACAGCACAAGCGCTGGCTCAGACAGCACATCCTTGTCTGACAGAGGTGTTGGTATTAAGTGGGATTTTCTTTGCCCGATTTTGACAGGCTGTGGTGAAATCTCAGCCCACTGGACATGAATCCTGAAGGTGGAACTACTGGCAAGGACTTTCTCCAGCAATCCTGACACCTGTGACAGCAGCCTCCCCTCTGCTGGGGGATGCTGCTGGAGTAAAGGCACTCCCTGGGGAGCAGAGATGCAGGATTACTGTAAGAAGCTGCAATTTTGGCAGCTGTGAGGCTGCTGCCCCATCACAGAGGAGRGGAGCTGTGTTTGGGAGCTCTCACAACCACAGAGGAGCTGCTCTTACACCAAAATCCTCATGTGATGGACTCCTCCTGCAACTGAAACACCCCCAGCCTCTGCCGAGGGGCAGATTTCTGTGCAGGAATGCGCTTGTAGGGGGATACAGGGAGGGAAACTGAGGCAGGGCAACCCCTAGGAAAGCCTATTTCCATCCTCCCTGACCTCAGTTACCCTCTTTGGAGCACCAAAAGCCCCACCAAAAGCTGCCCTGCCCCAGCCACACACGCAGAGCAATGGGGAGCAGGCTGGAGGTGATGCTTGGCTTACCTGACCCTTGTGCCCCCTCTCCCAGCACAGATCTGGGCACTGCTGGGAACTGACCCCTCTCCCCCCAGGTAGCAGCTCCCACCCCTCCCGTGCTCTGGAGTATCAGCAATTTGGATTTTGGAGATCATCAGAGTTGCTAAGCAACAGTGGCAGGCTGTGGCTGGCTGAAGGCAGGACCGCTAATGCCGTGTGACAGCACAGCCTTTATAAAAAAATAAATAAATAAAATAAACCCAGGCAGATCTCGCTGGGAGCAGGGAGCTGAGCCCAGGGAGGCAGGAGCAGGGCTCAGGGGACTCTGCAAACCAGAGCACACAGATCCTCCAGCAAGGCAGCACAAAATGTGACCACACCTGGCCTTGCACAGCAACTTTCTCYTGGCTCAAGGTTTCTTCTCACAACCCTCCTGAAGCACAAGGGAAGGACACACGGAGGGAAGGACACACAGAAGGAAGGACACACAGAGGTTTGGCCATCACCACAGCCAGGGAAGCCTCTGACATCAGCCCAGCTTTCAGGGCTGGTTTGGTTTGTTTTCCTTGTGTYTTCCTTTCTGAACAGAATTCTTTCCCTCAGTCCCACAACTGAACAGTGCACGTGGAAACACGGGCACACGSGGAAGAACAGCTGGGCAAGGAGCGACCCAATACTTTYTAAAAAGCACTTTTCTGGCTAAAGCAAAGGATTGGCTTTAATCTTGTGCCCAGCAGCTCGAGAATTTCACCTCTGAACTCAGAGAACCAAGACGAGCACCTGGGGTTTGCACCAAGAACACTGACAATGTACCTTTCTGAACTTTGTGCCACTCTGCAACAAGCTCTTCATATCAAAAATTAAAATGTAATGAATGCATTTCATGCTGTGGTAGCTGAGAATATCCCTGCGCCGTTTCTAGCAGCACCTGAGTGGTTCTGAGCATCCAGCCAAGAACTGCATTCAAACAACAAGCACAGACTCTGAGCCAGTGGGGAGGCACTTGGGGCAATGTCAGGACAGTACATTCGTTTCTAAGGCATGTAAAATGCACCCGTGCTGTAATTTATTATCAGGTACAAGATCTGCACACAGAGAAAAAGCCAACATATCAGGGAAGCTGTGTACCACTGGTCCCCCGGTTGTTTCATCAAAAAATAATCAAATTTCTCTTTGTTCTGGCATYAGCAAATTACTTGGGGGAGAAAAACAAAGTGACCACAGCATACCAATAAAACCATGTTGAGCTCTAAACATGAAAGCTGCTGTTTCACACCAAACTGGAAAACCAAAATCCTAGAACTGCTGAACAGCACAGCAACTGATTGCCTCTCGTTTAACGGCATTCCATCTCCCCGTGCAAGTCAGTGGGTTTGGGTAAGCAGTATTTAGGAGAAAGAAAAACATTTAGCTCATCTGATTTGCATATCCTAATGTAGTGATCCTTTAGAAATTGAGTCAAACTTAGCATGTTGAAAAAAAAAATGCAGTGTAAACAAAGCAAACTGAGCTTTAGTGCACGCTCAGTTACGGGGGAAACCTCGATTGCACCAACAGCACCCAGAATATTTGAGCTGTAACAGCTGAGGGATCTATTTTCATGCACTAGATTCTTGTATTTTCATTAAAAAAAAACCCAAATCAATTAATTCAGCAGYGCTGGATTCGTCAGAGATGAGAATGCTGGGCTATAAGCATGACCTTGTGTTTTCATTATTTCTGAATGAGGTTTTCTCCAGGGAACTATCCCAGCCTCTTCCTACGAGGCTGATGCATGAAACAGCTCTAACGAATTGCAGATGTGCAGGGCATCCTAAGCACACCTTGGCCCCGTGATGCAGCTCCAGAGAGACTTGTTCCTCCCTGGCCAGAGAGCTTCAGCCCTCAGCAACAGCYTCAGGCCAGGTCCATCTCTGACCACTTGAAACCTCAGCCCCAAATCCAGAACCAAGCACTCATCTCTCCCTGACTCACTGGGAATGGTGGGAATACTTTCAAACGTTCGGGTTTTGCTTTTTTTGGAAGCAAAGATGCTGGAGACACTGACCAGAGCACTTAAAGGTACCTGCTCCTCATCCCACAGCCTGGCACCTTATCCTACCTTATCCTCAGCTGCACTTGCCATGCTGTGGGCTACCTGCAGCAGCCAAGGCTTCCTGGTTGCTCTGTGTTTTGGGCTGAGATGCCAGGGGCAGGAGGTTTTTTTTGCCATCCCTGTTGCAAGACATCAAAGCTCCTATCAATCCTTTTCGGCTTGCCTCGTGGGCACAGGATGGATCTTTTACCTACAAAGGCCTGTGAGTGCAGATTCCCACAGAAGCTTCTCCGCTGCCTGCCGGTGTTTATCTCCTTTTTATTTGAAGGAAAGAAAGCAATAACCCGGGGAAAAGTCTGCAGCTTGCACGGGAGGTGCTGGAAGGGGACTGCTGCACGGTGACAGACAGCTCTRGATGTGTAAGGAACTCACAAGCTGCTTTTGTGACATCAAATGYGATAAAATCCTAACCAACCCCCCAGATCCCTGCTTCAAGCCCATCTCACTTCAGAGCCAATTCCACTCTGGAAAGAGCAGCATCCCAGCTCTTTCCTGCTCCTGTCCAGCCTTTCCCTCCTCATTTCTTCCACCTCCCAGGCACATCCCAACCTCTTGGCTGCACAGTTATTGTCATGTCATATTAAACATCAGCTTCTTCATCACCCCTCTCTGCCATTCACTCTTGTAATTCTCCAGCTCCAAACCCCTGTGTATTTTTCATTTTCACTTTCATTTCCTTGTTTTTCACCTCCTTGATTAATCCTGTCTCAGTCCAGACACTTTCTAGAAAACTTCAAGTGGGTCCATTGCACCTTTCGTGCAGCACCTCCCAAGCTTCCTGCCTTAGTAAAAGCTAAATGGGGAATATGTGCTGGGTGCTCAGAGMAAAAGAAATTCAAATTTCAGTTTCTCCACTGAGGAAGAGCAGAAAGAGCAAACCTCCTGTTTGGCTGCTCTGTAGGGCCTCCAGGATATCAGCACAGAACTTCAACCCTGCTGCTCACAGGGCGCAGAAACAGCACAGATGTGAGAACTTGGGAATGCAAAGGCTGCTTGCAAGCTGGGAGAAGGAAAACTGGGGAAAGGAAAACTGGGGGAAGGAAAACTGGGGGAAGGAACGATGGGAGATGGAAAACTGGGGGAAGGAAAACTGGGAGAAAGAAAACTGGGAGAAGGAAAACTGGGGGAAGGAAAACTGGGAGAAAGAACACTGGGAGAAGGAAAACTGGGAAAAGGAAAAGATAGGAGAAGGAAAAGATGGGACATGAAAAAGGTGGGAAAGGGAAAGCTGGGAGAGGGAAAAGTGGGAGAAGGAAAAGTGGGAGAAGGAAAAGCTGGGAGATGGAAAAGGTGGGAGAGGGAAAGCTGGGAGATGGAAAGCTAGGAGAGGGAAAGCTGGGAGAACGAAAACTGGGAGAAGGAAAAGATGGGAGAGGGAAAAGCTGAGAGAAGAAAAAGCTGGGAGAAGGAAAGCTGGGAGAGGGAAAAGTGGGAAAGGGAAAACTGGGAGAACGAAAGGCAGGCACTGAGGGTGCAGGGACCACACTCCTGAGCAGCCTCTCCCAGCACAGCCTCTCCACACGGCTCCTGGAGCTGCGCTAGGGCACATCCCTGGGAGCAGAGGTATTTTTAGCTGCAGCTCCACTCACGTCACAGGGCTGGGATCAGTGAGGCTGAGGCATGAATGGTGTCCCTGAGCACTCACCATCACCGGGTGGGTGGGCTCAGGCTGGCACTGAATGACTGAACCCAGCAGGGAACCATTCACTCCACCAGCTTCAGAGCTGTTCCATGGGCTGGAAGGTTGCACAAATCCAGCATCTGGTGAGGAACTGCTGGAATCTGCAGAGTTTTGTGCAGCTCTGCCACTGAATATCACCATCACTGASAGCCCAAATCGAGAGCTTTGTTGTGGTTACACATTTCCTACAGGAGAGTCTTTGGAACAGGAAACAGCCCTTCCTCCACAAGGATCAAAGTTCCTAAAGATTTTAWATCCAGACTTGCTCTTTTTGGAAGAAAGGAGGTGTCTTAAGTCTATTTTCACTGGATTTAAATGATCAAGGCTGTGAATTTTGTAAAATCATCACCCTGCAGAGGCACATGGCCATGCACACACCCTTGCTCTGGTGTCAACTAGGAATAAAATGGATTCAACTCCTGCCAGATTTCATCCAGYTCACTCTGCCTCTGCCCTGGTATGTCTCACTTGCCATGCTGTGAGAACCCTCAACCCCTGGAAGCCCAGCACTCCRTGGATTTTGGGATTTGGCTGATCCTTGTGCAGGCAAGGCCTGAAGCTCTTTTGGTGTTCTGAACGAGAGGAGGTCACTGCCTGTAGCAAATCAGGGTGAGCAGGTGGAGTCAGGCTCCACTGGCAGACAAAATCCAAGGGACTAAGGCAAGATTTCCCTGCTTTTCCCTCCTGCAGGCTCTTGGGCTGCTCCGTGCCCAAGCCCAGGTGGTCAAGGAAGAGCTGCAAGAGGGAGGAGGTGTCGGCAGCAGAGACACAAATCCAGAAGCCTCAGTGGTTGGGAGCATTTGGAAGCTGCTCGTGAGGCATGACCCACTTTCTGTTGTGCACAAGCCAAAGAGGTTGGCAGATCCTGGTAGATCCTGGCAGATCCTGGTAGATCCTGGTAGATCCTGCATTCCCCCGAGCAATGTGAGGGATGGATCGTGCTCTGGAGAGGTTCTTCTCTGGAAAAGGCTGTGGATCCACTGCAGAGGAACTGCCTGGTGCTCCCTGCTCTCCCTGAGAGCTGCTGACTTGTCCTCCTCTGAGCATCCTGGGCCAGCAGTGAGGCCCTGAGCTGGCAAACACTCTGGGATGGGGAGCATTCCACACTCCAAACCCTCCAGAATGGGGAGCATTCCACACTCCAAACCCTCTGGGATGGGGAGCATTCTACACTGCAAAACCTTTCAGAATGGGGAGCATTCTGTCACTCCAAATGCTCTGGATTGGGCAGCATTCCACACTCCAAACCCTGTGAATCGGGAGCATTCTACACTCCAAACCCTCTGGAATGAGGAACACTCTACACTCCAAAGAATTTCAGAATGGGGAGCATTCCACACTCCAAACGCTCCAGAACGGGGAGCATTACACATTCCAAACCCTCTGGATTGGGGAACATTCTGTCACTCCAAATCCTCCAGAATGAGGAGCCTTCTGTCACTCCAAACCCTTTCAGAAAGGGGAGCATTCCACACTCTAAACCCTCCAGAATGGGGAGCATCCTTTCACTCCAWCTCCTCTGGAATGGGGAGYATTCCAYGCTCCAAATTCTCCAGAATGGGGAGCATTCTACACTCCAAACCCTCCAGAATGGGGAGCATTTCACAAGCCAAACCCTTTCAGAATGGGGACCATTCCACATTCCAAACCCTCTGGATTGGGGAGCATTCCACACTCCAAATCCTTCAGAATGGGGAGCATTCCACACTCCAAAGCCTTTGGACTGGGGAGTACCCTGTCACTCCAAACCCTCCAGAATGGTGAGGATTTTGTCACTCCAAATCCCCTGGATTGGGGAGTATTCCACACTCCAAAACCTTTCAGAATGGGGAGCATTCCACACTCCAAACCCTCTGGATTGGGGAGCATCCTTTCACTCCAACTCCTCTGGAATGGAGAGTATTCCACGCTCCAAATTCTCCAGAATGGGGAGCATTCTACACTCCAAACCCTCCAGAATGGGGAGCACTCCACACTCCAAACCTTCCAGAATGGGGAGCACTCCACACTCCAAACCCTCCAGAATGGGGAGCACTCCACACTCCAAACCCTCCAGAATGGGGAGCACTCCACACTCCAANCCTCCAGAATGGGGAGCACTCCACACTCCAAACCTTCCAGAATGGGGAGCATTCTGACACTTCAAATCCTTCAGAATGGGAAGCATTCCGTCACTCCAAATCCTTTCTGAATGAGGAGCCTTCTGTCACTCCAAACCCTCTGGAATGGGGAGCCTTCTGTCACTCCATGTTTCATAACATTTTCTTCCAGAGGGAAGAGGCGGACAGCCCAGGCTGCAGGATCGACAATCCCAGTCACCCCTCTCCCCCTCCCAACCACATTCCCTGCTAGCCAGCACCCCAACAGCACAATGAGCAGCTTCCAGTGATTCTGACTGGAGAAAAAGAGCYCAGGATGCAGCCAGGGCATGGCCAGGGCAGAAGGCACCRGCAGCRGCAGCAGCAGCTCTGCAGTGCAGGGGGAGAGGCAATGCCAAGCTCRGTCAGGAGCAGAGGGAGGACTGGGGGAGGCACAGAGGTTGTTCCTATTTGAAACCCCACAGTGAAATCAAGTCCTGAGGTCCAACAGCTGCTATTTTTCCACCCTCCTCTWGCATGTTCCATCTTTTATATTCTGAAATAGTAATAATTATGAATACAAAGAGACCCGTGGCTTCTGTCTGCTATTGAAGCACGAGGGTGTTATTGTGAGAGAATAAAAAAGGTTACAGGGCTGCTAATCAATAGGGACACTTCTTTCATCTGTGAAACACAGCAGCTTTTGGTAGCATCACCTGGCTCCTGTCCAGAACCTCTCAAACAGGAGCAAAGCTGCTCTGCTGGCACCACTCCACTCTTTTRCACTCCCTTACCCTTCAGCAGTTGTAAGGTCACACGTCCAAGACATTCACAGAGGCAGCTCCACRGCCAAACAAACTGAGCAGGACCAAACACGATGAAAATGCATCGATTTCTCGGCTAACAACAGCAGCCTCTTCCCATATGAGACACCCAACACCCTACGGTGTCTGCAGGGTTAATCTTGCACGAGAAGGAAGAAAGAAGCTGCCAAAAGGTGAAGTGAGCGGCCCAGGGTGATGCAGTAGGGCTGGAACACTTTGTTCAAAACTCCCAGCAGCAGGACAGGGTTGCTGAACAGCCCCAACGCCGTGTTCAGCTCTATTTAAGGAGCAGCTTTGCAGGGAAGCCAAGTATAAAAGGGAAAACAAGAATCCAAGGTCCACAATGAAAGGAAGAAACAGATCGGTAAAATCAAAGAGTTGGGATCTTTAGATGTGCTTTTATGGGGACCCAGCTGAAGTTTTTGACTGAAACAAGCCCCAGGATCCCAGGCTGCTCTATTCAAAAGTGCAACATTTATCTCTTCATTAGCCAKAAGGTTATTTTACGAAGGGGATATTAATAAGATGAGGTTTAATAGCCATATATCAAAAGCGCCCTCAGCACAGCAGAATGAAACCACTCACCAGCGTTCAGGTGACAGTCTTTAATCTGGAACTGAAGCTCATTTTCATTTGGAATATCCTTCCATGTTGCAAGGAAGACCTGGCGCTCTAGAAATAAACAAAAAAAACCCACCTCATCAGCACTGTGGGATCCTCCAGGACCCAGCATTAATTAAAACATCACAGAACATTTCAAGGTAGACAAACAGAAGAGCTTTTGGGAACTTTTTGCCCTGCTGTGGACAGATCCAGGATTTACTCCTCTCAGTCTTTCTGTAAAAGCAGCAAAGCTTTGATGGGTTTTGGCCTTCCCTRAAAGAGAGATAGTCTTTGCCATATGAGTTGTTTACAAGCCAAGAACATGCAGGATTTGACAAGAAGGAAGGAGATCCACACATTTAGAGTTATGTTACTGAAAGCTGCTTTTCAAGCAACTTCCCAGCCAATTCAAACCRTAATTTAATAAAGGTGACAAGAAACACACAGATTCCAGTGTAAATGGTATAAGGGCAAATCTTAGACTCATTCAACGGAATCAAACCCTCAAAAAACTCCAGAACTGCAACAACCCCAATGCAAACAAATATTAAAAAAAATYGACTTTAAAGGAAACAGATCTGATTCTTGTCTGGCAGAGAGAATCAGAAGAAGGAATTTGGGTTCTGGCAGCTATTGGAGCTGGAGGACAACAGGGACAGGCCACCAAACCAGACCTGGGGAGATGCAGTGGCTCGAAGGAGACACCTGCACCCAGCTGGCCCTGAGAGTACATCCTGGCCAAATGGGGCTGCCCACAGCCCTAAAAGCACTCACCCATTTTGCCATCCTCTACGAAGAGCACGTTGAGAGGGATGAGGCAGCTGAAGTAGAAGACATCGATGTTGTTTTTCACAGCCACCTGTTACAGAAGAAAAGGGGAGGTTAAAGAGTCTCTCCCAGCTGGAAATGCAAAGGGATCACAAGATTTCCCACAGTCTCATCATCTTGGAGTGCTCTCTGAGAGCAGAGGCCAGCTCAGAAAGGGAAGTCCATCTCTGAATGGGAGGCTCCCCAGAGGGATGGCACTGAGCTTCTGGGCACTTTCAGACAAGGACCAGTCCCCCATTTTCACTAAAAGCTGCCCAATTTTCCCCTGCCAGCCTTTCACTGGGCTGCTTCAGAGTCAGTTGCACCCAGGGGCTCACAGCAGCATCCCAGCTCTTTCCTGTTCCTGTTCAGCCTCTCCCCCTCCTCATTTCTTCCACCTCCCAAGCACATCCCAACCTCCTGGCTGCACACAGGTTCTGTCATATTAAACATCAGCTTCTTCATCACCCCTCTTTGCCATTCACTCTTGTAATTCCCCAGCTCCAAACCCCYGTGTATTCTTCATTTTCACCTTCATTTCCTTATTTTCCACCTCCTTGATTAATCCTGTTTCAACCCAGGCACTTTCTAGAAAACCTCAAATGGATCCACTGCCTGCATCTTCCCTGCAGCACCTCCCAAATCTCCTGCCCTTGCCTCACTGAAATCTGAACAGGGAATATGTGCGGGGTTGATTCCTGGAAGAAGAAAGCCCTGCTACAGAGCAATCAGGTAACAAAGGATCACTTGACAAAAGACTTAATTCTCAGTGTCATTAAACTCCACCAGCCCAGGGAGTTTGCCTTTATCTGGTTTGCCTTTATCACACACACTTGCCATGTTCCCCACTAATCTCTGCTGAGAGTTTTTCCCCAGGCTGGGAGAGCTGCTGGGACAAAGCAGGAGCAGAGTGGAGGTCTGAGAGGTGCACTGTCACAACACAGCACGGGAAAAGGCAGCTCTGGGCTTTATTTCCATGTCCCTCATGCTCTCCCACACAGCCAGAGCCTGTCACGGGAGCACAGCTCAGCAGACACCTGCCACTGCCTGACACCAAGGAATCTTTAACCTTGTAAGAAAGACCCACAATTGTGGCTGCRTGGGGAATTTCAGGAGCTATTTGAGCTCCTGCTTCCTTTGAAAAAGCCCAGAAGGAGTTCTCCAACTTGTCACCTGGCTGAGACACAAAAACCAGACCATGCTAAATGCTGACCCTAAGGTTTAAATGTAGTGCTACAAAGATTTGTGCCAAGACAAACTTCACTGGCATTAATAATTACACATATTGGTGTCCTGCTGGGAAAATCTACTGCCCCACAAGGCAGAAAGRCACCCACAAATGTTAAAAACCAGCTGTGGATAGAAAGAGAAGGGGAATAAACCAGTCAGCTGATGAGAMTGAGCAAGCCAGAGACAAGTGGAAGGAGATCAAGCTCCCAAACAAACTCTCCTGGCAATTGRGAAGATCCCAGGAGTGCAAAGGACKGCAGRAAGGTAAAWGTGACAATCTGTGACGTTTCTACTTTTCAGCAGCTTCTATTTAGTTCCCACTATGCAAACCAGCTTAAGAAGGGATTAGCCCAAAGCCCACTAAAACCAAGTAAATGATGGTGCAACTGAGAAAAWAAAATAAAAATTTGGGAATGGTTCTCTGTCCCATTGCTGGCATCACAACCATGAGTTGGAATGTTCAGCRCTCAAACCAGAGGCACCAGAGGGGTAAAAGCAGATTGGTGGGTGGAYTTCAGTGATTCACCTCTGGAAAATATGACAAAACATATTGGGTGAGGAGCCAGAAATGCACCTCCGAGTCTGGGGAGGGGAGAGCTGGGGGAGGGACAGCAGTGTAGCCATTCCAGATGCTCTGCCTGCATATAAGTCATGGAGACGAGCCAGAAAAGGGAAAATTTAGGCTAAATGTCTGGGAAAACCGATCGTGAGAATTATTAAGCGGCACTGAATTCCTCTGAGGAAGAGAGAAGCTCCAGTGCTTGGACTATTTAAAATCAGCCTTGACAACGCTCTGGATAAGAGGAAMTGTAGGAAAACAACAAAGCATAGCAGGGACTACACTGCACGACCAGAGATCCTTTCCAAGTCTGATTTAATGATTAATTGCCTCGCCTTAGAACAACAGAGATTACTTGGCTTTTGTAGCTAATTGTTGTTGCCATACAACAGCAGTTTCTTACAAGAGGGGCTGGAAAGCAGCTCCTTCTCTCCAGTCACGGTTCTGGAGGCACACTCCAAATTAAAATGCGAGCCCTGTCCCTGCAGTTATGGGGATGCTATAAAAAGGTATCTGCTGACCTGCTTCTCAACTCTGCAGAAACACACTGAGTAAGCTGCTTTGGCTATCTCTGGAGAGTTACCCAATTAAGASGCTCTGAAGTGCAATTTCTTCCCAGTAAAGAAAAATCAAGGCACATGCCAGCCTTCCTCCCCAACTGCATCACTGGGTTTGGTGAATGACATCACATGTCACCTTGCAAGAGCTGTAATCATGCAGRAATCAGCTGTCACAAATAACTTTTGCACACAGGATGGAAAAAGCTACAGTCTCCTTAACTTGTAGCACTGGTGAGCTCCTCAAAATGAGCTTCCTTCACTCACAGCACACATTTCCCCCAAACAGCCATGGTGCTCCATAAGATCTGGTCCATAAAAAGGTATCTGGATGGGGAAACTCTCACCAARTGGCTCCATGAGTTGGGAACAGCTTCCCAAGGTCACATTCCACATCAGAAGCACAAAAGCAGCCAGAGGCAGAGAGCAGATCCCTGGTAGAGTCTGCAAGAAGCTGAGCAGGTCATAAGAGCGACTTGCCAAAAAAAATCCAGTGCTCCTCAGGTGAGAACACTGTCCTGAGACAGCAATGACATCTGAGGTGGTAGCAGGAGCTGAGAAGTCTCTCCAGGTTTGACATGCCTGAAAGGAACCTCTGCCTGCATTCRACAAATCCTCCAGCCCAGAAAAACTTTGCTTGTGGCTCTGCAGCTTTAACCTGCTGACCTGGACGTGAGCTATCAAATCTTTAGCAAGACCTTTAGCTGCAGACATTTCAGAGTTGAAACAGAAGCATTTTTAATAAAAATGGCTTTCCATCTGTGATCTTTTAGAGAGGGGAAAAAAATATTAGTGCCTTGTGAATTTAGTCAAGCAGCCTACAAAGCTCTGAGGGATAGAAGTCAAAAGGTGTCAGATTTTTGTGTGATGCTCCACTGTTGAAAAGGTGTGAGTCCACTGAAAATTGGCTCAGGGTTTCAAATCACTTCTGTCTGGTTTGTGATCTGACTAGAGGAAGCATTACCTCTAGAAATAACCCCTGGAATGTATTTGCTCACCTTGCAGCACCCTTCTGCTGAGCTATCCTGTAGTCCAGCCCTCTAATAGACCAAACATTATTATTTTGGGGAAGAGGTCCCTCACAAGAACGATGTGAAGCTATTTTCTTCAATAATGTGGGTTTCTGATGCTCTAAATCACAGGCTTGAGCAACAGAACTGACTTTGAAAGTCAAGTCTGAAAGCAACACAGATGCTTCCCATCAGCAGCAAGTACACAACATACCCACTTGGAATCCCATTAGCACYTACACTAAATTAAGGAATTCCTTAAGTTGGGTTTTGCTTCAGAGCCTGGGAACAGCTAAGAAAAACTCTCCTCTGCAGAGCCTTTTTTACCTCCCAAGGTCACGGCTCGTTCTGTGCCAGGCTGCTGCTCTGCCCCCAGAGAATGCCACTCCTTCCTTTCATTTTGTGTGACAGGTGAGGGCTCTCAGGGTCCCGGGGTGCCACATTCTCTGCCAGCCCGCAGGGACGAGCGCGGAGCCGGAGCTGTGCACGCACAGYGAGCCTGGGTTACGTCAATGGTCAGGGAACACAGAGTTACTGGGAGGGCTGTGCTCCTCCAAATGTACAATTTATAAATGTGCTGCACCATGTGGCAGGCGGGCTCTTAACCCCCAAACCAGCAGCTTTCCACAGCTCTGTGAGGAACTGGCTGCAGACGCCAAGCTGGGATGCAAGTCCTTCATTCAGAGCGTTCCCAGGAGGGTTCTTTGCCAAAATAAGACTCTCACAAGTAAAGACTGTTAAAGAATAACCCAGGAAACAAACCCAAGAAGCATCTTCCCCATGTAGATACCCACAAGTGTGGTGTGGGGCTGGTCAGGGATTCGGACATCACGCCCCCATGGGCAGATATTGTGTGATTTATTAAGGAGGGTGAACATCTCCTGGCTGCAATTGCTGCTCACAATGATTCTCAGCCTTGTTTCCACGGGGAGCTGGATGTGTGAAATCTGTTCCCGGGTTGTGAGCGCTGCGTTTGTGACCTGAGATCCATTAAGAGCTCTGATGAATGAGAGCCCCAGCGGTTGCGCACAGCGAGGCGCTGGAGCGTGCAGGAGCACAGGTGATGAGTTACAGCAGAGCTGGGACTGTGAGGATGAGCATCACCTGCTGCATTAGCAACTCTGATACTGGCTCTGTGAAGAAGCTGCACCTTCTTCCTCTGCCTCTACAAAAACATTTCACTAAACTCACTTCAAGAAACAAAAGCATGCTGCACCTCACACTGCCCAGCAACAGGGCCATGTTGCCAAGTGCCACCTGTCAAGGAGAAATGCAGCTGGCACATCCTTCCCTTTCCAAACTCAGATCATTAAAAAATAAAAACCCACTTTGAAAAATTCAAGCTTTTTTTTTGGCTGCAGCAAACAGGGCTGGCACTGACAGCAGGTAATGCTGGGGAACAGGACAGGATGATGGGGATGGGACATGACGGGGAATGGAACACACTGATGGGAAATGGGACACACTGATGGAGAATGGGACACATCGATGGGGAATGGGATATGTTGATGGGGAATGGGACATGAATGGGTCACCCTGATGGGGAATGGGACAGGAATGGGACACCCTGATGGGGAATGGGACAGAAATGGGACACACTGATGGGGAATAGGACATAATCATGGTGCATTCAGAATGTGCACCCCAAGAGAGTGGCTCCAGCATCAGGAAGACTTTGTGCTTTTCCAGGAGTGCTTACAGCTCATTTTCAATTGTATTGTCTCGTGCAAGAGGTTATAATCTCCCAGAAGAGATGATCACACTGTGCCATGACAGGCCAGGCCTGAGCTCCGAAACTGTGGCAGCAGGTTGGGTCCACTTACCCCATTTCCAGGATTAGGGGGGCAGTTCTTGTGTGCTCTGATGGGTATTTCAATTTCACAGCATTTCATAGCTGTTAAAATGCCARTTATTAGGAACAGTGGCTCTCTTTAGCACAGAAAGGCTCTCATCCCAGGCATTTCCTAATTCCAAATTTGTCTTGAAGAAGCATCTGGAAAGATTTATAATTCCTCACCAGTGCAAATCCCCATTTCAGAAGCCACCTTCCCCTTTGAGAGCTGAAGGTCTCACACTCGTGGTGGCAAAGACACCTCACTCAGCCCAGGTCTTCCACCAGATATGACCCTCACAGCCCACATGCCACCAGCAGTGTCACCACTGCGGGTGACACTGCTTTGATTGTGAAAAGGCAGCACTACAGGAACCAGGAAAACCTGCCCAGCTCTCAGAGACACCTTAACGGCTGTCAAACACCCAGAAAGGTTAACACAGCCTCTCACAGATCTTTGGGTAAGAGCTTGTTGCTATTTACTGGTGCCATGCTGTAGAGGGCAGGGACCGAAGCACACACATGCACCAGGCAGCCCCCAAAATGCTGGCAAGGCACTGCCARGTGTCCCCCACCAGAAGTTGGGAACACACAAATTACTAAGTCAGATTTTTTTTAGCAAGAGGGACACTCCAAAAGAAGCTTTTTAACCTGACAGCAGCTTTTTAATTTGCAAGRAATGAAAAAGATGAACCAGAGAGCAGGGATTGGGGTTTGCTCAGCTCTGCAGTGCTGTGCCAAGCCTAATTTTACCCTTTGGATAAATCTCTGCTTGACTGGGGGTTAAAGGTGAGTAAACAAGTCAAGAAAATGATCATGATGACTTTGGGATGCAAGGGAGAAGCCTGGTATTCGGTATCACAAGATGCAAGGTGACTAGCAAACACAAGACTCTTCAGCTGTATTTTACCTAAATAAGCCTCTGAAAATATTTCAGTCTTCCTCAGCTTCTTGCAAAAATGTCTTTTTTGTTACCTTGTCAAATATTTTAGTTCCTCTCCATGATTACAAATGTCAAGATTAAATGAGCTGTATTGGGTGAAAGATTAGAWATGGTAATAAAAATAACCTGAACAAGACATGAATTCATTACTTCTGGAATAGTTGCCTAAGGAATGTACAACTAGTCTTTGAAGTGTCTAATTAACATGACAAAAAGTTGAAAGCTATCAGTTTGGTTACTTCAGGACTTATTTTTCTTGTTGCTAAAAACAAAAAACTCCCACCAGAATAGGAGATGAACATAAGGTCCTCAGGTTCAAACCAGCCCTGCATCTGCTTCAATGTTCCCGAGCTGAGAAAAAAAAACCCCACATTAAGTAAATCCAACCTGATGACTGTTTTGGTTCTTCAATGAATCTGGGAACATTCGTATTCTCCACTCCTATATTATGCTATAAATTGTTCCCTAAGTAGGTCACCAAAGTGATTTCTGAATGTTTCMAGACGAATCCATTCTACATGGACCCACAAAAACAAACCAGAGCCTTGGCTGTCAGGGCATTGATAGGTCTCCATCAAGCCCACTGCTGTCAAAAAAGTAAGGGGAGTGCTCTTTTTAATTTGGCATCTGCTGTCGTGATTCAACTCTTTGCAGAGAAATATACTATTACTCCATATGGCAGCTCCCCAATTGTGAAAGGGCAGCCAAGTCCTATGGCAATGAGAGCCTCAGCAAATTAACAACCGAGTCTGGCACTAATGAATGCTCCACTGGCTCAATAGAAGGTAGCTGGAGGTTTCCTCACATGTTYGCTCTCAGCTTTGTTCTAGCGGGAGATGCTACAAGAAACAAACTGTGTTCCAAGCCCTTTGGAGATTGAATAACCCAAATACTTCACTTCCTTCCTGATCAAAGGGAGCAGCGACTTGAGGCTGCCTTGTTGAGAGTCCCCAGTGCTGYGGAGGATGATGGGGACTGTCACCTCCTGGAGAATTCCACACTCCCTTCAGAGCAGGAGGCAGATTCYACTGCAGCTGACCCAAATGCAACCTCACCTTCGTGACCTGGTTGCAGAAGGAATGCAGCTTTTGCAGAGGCTGGRAGAGCCAATTGTGGAAGCCAGGCCATGGGATTCATTCACTGTCTGTGCCCTCCCCCGTCGCATGACTGCGCTCGGAGCCCGAGTGTGGGACTGCTCCTTTGAGTGCCAGRGAAGCTATTTCAAGCTGTTTGCCCAAAGACTCATCAATAAGTCATAAGCCCCAGAATGGAAGTCAAGACAAGGGGAAAAAACAGTTGTTCAGGCAGATTAAATAGTAACTTCCATTGGATTCTCTTAAATCAAAAAGAGAAAGAGCTSCTTCAAAATATTCCCCTCTATGGGTCGCTGTGCTGCAGGACCTAACCCAGTCCCACCTTGTGGAGACCTGAGGTGAGAGAAACATGCTGCAGTGCAATTAACTGCATCTCTGGGATACTGGGAAATCATCCTGTCATCCCAGACACCCAGAGCAGAGGGAAGAGTCGCTGACCTTCACTCCACAGAATGCTTGCACATGGCAGCAGTAGGGAAGAGCCTCCTCCCAGGGAGAATTGTCTGCCTGATGACTTCCAGACCACTCTGGCCCAAAGCAGAAGGGAACATCTCCCTGGATGTGTCCTGTCTTTAYCAGATTGACAGCCCAATGTGATAAAGAGGCTCCTCCAGGGAGTGCTGTCCCCGCCATGCACCAACACTCTCATTAATGAAACATGAGCTGCCCACGTCATTTCTCCTCTGCCTTTCCTGGAACACACTGCCTTGGGTGAAGCTACCCGGGGCAGGGATGTGCCTTTGTGAAGCACCCTGGAATTTAAGAGCACTAGAGAAATATTAATCACTCAGCAGTTGCCATCTTTCCTGCAATTCCTTTAATTGCCTCAGTTCTTACTGACAGCTCTCTCTGCCTGCTCCACCACAGCTACTTCCTCTGTTCAGACCAGTTCAGAAAGCCAACCAAACCAACCAAAAATGCCCACTTTACAGAACAGTGTTACTGGAGCAAAGCCCTTAATCTAYACAGATGCAAGCAGCTTGCTTGAGGTGTTTGAAAAGTCACAAGATTCGAGAAATTTCTGTTTCAGTCTTTATGAGAGAGACTAGGAAAAGRAAGAGGACTAAATTTTGGCCAGACTCGAGGCCCAAATCCATGAGGTCTGCCTGATTACATGTGGTATTTTGTGATTAGAGCTGTGCTGGGCCAAACAAACTGGGCTGAGCCCCCGCTGAGCTCCCCCAAAAGAGATAATCCTTACCTGAAGGTTGTTCAGAGGCTCCATTTTCATKACTGGTCCCAGAGTGTTGAGGGGCAGGGAGACATCAATACTTTGGTTTGGCATCAGAGGGGTGTGAATGGCCAGGGGGGTGCTCGGGATGACCCCAAAGCTGGGCAAGAGAAGAACAGAGGTGATGAGAGGTCCAAAAAATTGCCCAAAATACACCCAAAATATGAAGTTCCTTTTGTCAAACAGCACCTGGCTCATTTTCCCACCACTCCTGAGCTGCCTCTGCTGTCACTCCAGGGAGGGAACACAGCTCAAAYGAACAGAGGAAGTAAGGCAAGGCAYRGGAAACTCATTCAGGGTGATCTTGCTGGCACAATGACCATCCTGCTCCAGGAACCAGCCCCTGGGAACTCTCCCATTACCCACTCAGAAACAGCTCTTGTTTCTCTCCTCCCGAGCTCCAGAGCACTGCAGGTAGGGTACATCACACCCTGCATCGCTGAAGCTGTGGCAGGGGGAACTGGAGCCAGCACAGAGCAGAGCCAAGGAGGAACATGTGCTTTGGAACAGCACTGGAGAACATGAGAATCAACAGAGCCAGCTGCTAGTCCTGAATGACAGCACCTGGCTCAGCTGCCTGCTTGGAGGCTCCTTCATGGGGATGGATCCCAGCAATGTTTACTTGCCTGTGCAGCCCAAGGAACATTTAATTCTACAGGCACCTCTGCTTAGTGTGGAGAAGAGGGAAAACAGCTCACATTTAGCTCAGCACTCCCATACTACGGAACAGCTGCTTTCCAAAAGCAGATGGAAGCCCAGATGTTTCGGTGTCCACTCAGAAATGCATTTCTCTTGAGCAGAATTCACATTAGCTCAGGGGTCTCAGAGMATTTGCAGGATGGATAGGTGTGTATTTTTATTTTATTTGCTAGAAGCTTGATACTGTCTCTGCACAGTCAGCCACATTTATCAGGTTTGTCACTCTTTCAGAAACCAATAAATGCCCCATTCTTGGTTCTCCTTAGTTTTGTGCTCCAGGGAGCTGAAATAGGARTATTCTTAGCAAGGGTTTAACCACATGAYTTGCCTTCTGCAGCCATTTCACCTKCGAGGACACAAACCCTCATGTYTTCCCTAAGACTCAGAGGGAACCAAATTTGCAGTTCATTTTTAAGGGGCTGTGATATTACAGCACACCAGAGCTTTAGCCTGATTTTTTTCTAATGCTTTATCCCAAGACTGCAGTGAATGTGATTAGCAACAGCAGGAAAGGAGGGAAAAGCAATAGAAACTTCCCAATCACAAACCTTAATATTTGCACTCAAAGAATCAGCCCTCTGCAGCTCTTTCTAATGCACCAGCCACAGTGGAAAGCATTGACAGGAGAGCAGCATTTGWAAAAGAGCAAATGGTAAGTTGTATATGAAGCTTGTGCTGCAAGAGTAAAAACTGCTGGTTTGCTGTATTTAAACTTTTTACATCCTTGAAGTACCATCTAGTGAGGCTAAAACATAGCTTGATGGATGGGGGGAAAAATCCCAAACAAAATGYCTTTTTTCCCAGGCCAATTTGCATGAAACATTTGCATACAGCAGCTTAGCAAAACTCTCCAGAAAAATATGGCAGTCCAGAGAGAACATTTACTGAGACATACTTAGCATAATGACTTTTCTAAGTAAATCTTATTCGTCCCAAGAAATCCTGCATTTGCAAGGCTAACAGTGAGATTAAAGACATGTTTCAGTGGATCTTCAGTGGAGAGAACCCTTTTCCAGTGAAGTGGTATTAAGAAAAACATGTCAGGCACAAGATACTCTTTGCAGCCTTGATAAGAAGTAGCCTGGTCCTTGCTGAAGATAACACACGGCAAACCTCCAGATTTGCTCCCTGGAAAGGCTATTTGAGGGAAGACACCACCATACCAAGTCCTTTGGCTGAGATGGGTTTCCAAGAACAATCTGAATGCTCTAAACTTTCAAGTGGCYGCTGCTTCTGACAAAATTCTGCTGCCTATTAGAGGGAGAACTTGTGCCACAGGCTCCCAGCTTGCAGCTCCTTCAGTGACAAGCAGCTTTATTAAGGAGCCCTGAGCTTCCAGACAGTCTGAGGGGCAGCAAAGCAATTAARTCAGGAGGCTGAGGCATCATTTGTGTAGCTCAGATCCTGCCTGTTGGTGCTCTTGCTTTCCCCAGGACACTTGCTGGCCATCAACCCACCAACCTGCCCAACAACTCATGAGGATGCTTTTAAACTGCACCGAGATGAAATGGGGCAGATGCTGTTTCAGAGCTGCTGCCTGTTTCCTCTCAGGTTTATCAGTCTGTTTTTTCAGCTCTTTCATGTAATTTTGGTGCAATGGAGAGGTCAGCCTGCATCATCCAAGCTATTTCCACGACTGCATTACACACCTAAGCACAAGCCCTCCCTAAATTTAGCAGTGTGGGCACAAGCTGCTTTCCCAGGAGCACACCATCTGTTGAACACAGCACATTGCTGTTAATTTCTTACCTGTTCTTATTGAACTGAATGGCAAAGTCAGTCATGTGCTGCAAAGCCTTATTGGTAAAGTTCATCTCCATGTAGATGTGCCCCTGCCTGTGGCTGAATGTGCCTGAGATCTCCAGTCCTTTGGCCTTCACTGCAGGAAGCCAAACCTTGAACACAAGAGATTTCACTCAGTACAAGCAGCCTGGCCTGAAGGGAACAAACAAGCAGAGCTTCCCAAAAAAAAMMMCAGAAGTCCTGAGCTCAGAAATCCAGCTACATCAGCACACRAAGCCCACAAAGGCTAAAAAACCACTACAGGAAGGTGGGACAYGGGTGTTGAAAGGATGGAGCTCACCACTGAGGAACTAGCTTGCTGCTCCTAATCCATATTTGCTCACAGCACTCAGGGAAGAATTCCAATTACTACAGCATTAGTGTTCACGAGAGCAGGGCCAGCTTGTGTCCATCACACTGATGGGAGACTTACCCAGTCTGCTGCTGGACAGCCTTCTCCAGGGGCTGGCTGGGCTATTGGAGGCAGGACAATACTAAAGTTTGAACCAAATAAAATCACAGGCTTGGTGCTATTATCTGTTGTGGGTTCTGGATTCCCAAATCACCTTTGTGGGAAAAAACCCAGACCCAAATCTGAGTACAAAATGAGGTTGTGCTTAGCTCAGAATTCCTGTGGGTTTTTTGTATTTGGTCTTATACAGTGTGTAATAACTCCAAGGACCAAAAGGTTTGATTATGGTCTGCATTACCTTGAGATCCTCAACATCAGAGTATGGCTTAAATTTATCCAATCATGGACTGTTCAAGTCCATTTTTGTTTATTTCTTTCCAGGAGCCTGAGCTCCCTTTGGCTGCTCCAGAACCACGTTCTGTGTCTCATGACCCCTCCCAAATTCATGCTTCAGCCAAAGCCTCTGTGTCTGTCACTGGCAGAACATTTCTCTGCATTTCAATGCGGCACCATCATCCCAATCACATGGCTTTATCTTCACTGTCACGCTGGATTCTTCTAAATAAACAAATCTGCTAGGAAACTTGTTGCAAATTGTGTCTTGCCCTCAGTTTCCTGGGGAAGCTCGTTAAGAAGCAGGAAAGAGGCTCTGACACAACCAAAAGTCTCAGATCTTATCTAAGCCACTCTTTAAAGAATTGTTGTCACAGGTAAAATGAGGGGACTGCTAAAATACCAGAAGTGTGTAACTAATAAATGACACGGTCTCCAACATGGAGTTACTTGGGAAAAGCCCAGGGACTGAGTTGAACTTCTTGCACCAGAAACYCACAATAAATGGGACAAGTGAGCAATGCCAGACTCGTTGTAGCCYAAGGGAAGGTGATAAACTGGGGATGACTGTTTTTCCTTACGTACAGACTTGGGAGCCACATATCCTCCTGGAGCCATCCCTATGCCAGGCGAGAGCTCGAAGAGATCGTTGAGTCCACTGCTGACCACTGCTGGGGTGGGAGAAGGAGCAAAAGTGGCTGGCACAGAGGAGGGGATGTAGGTCTGTCCCACCTGGAGGAGTCAAAAGAACAGGCACTCGTTACCACCATGTGTGAGAGCTGCTTATTAAATAAAGCATGAATTCGGGCAATATCCTAAATATTTTAAAGCCATTTGCAGCTTCCCCACTGATTTATCAATCATGCTAAATTATGCATTTGAAYTCCAAAGCTCTTGGCAGCTAATCCCTACACTCGGCTGTCACCTCAACCAAGCTTTCACATCATTTTTTATAGCTCCAGTTATCTATTCCCACTGTAGAGGAACSTTTCTTCTCCGTCTCTCCTTCTCATAAGACAATTATGTTTTGTGGATCTACCCTACATAAACCCAGGGAGAAGAGCAATTGCTTCAAATCTTCCCCCAGCTCCGTCAGCCTTCAGGARTCTGCAAGATTTTGCATATCCAGAGATAGCAAGGGAGTCATGACCGTGTTGTGTACTCCCACCCAAAGCCAGAGCTCTGCATTCTCAGCACCGTGGCCCAAAAGGTTCCTTACAYGAAGCAGAGTCTGCCAGAGGACAACCTCCCTGCAATGAAGGACAATCCTTCCCTCCCAGGACCTAAATGAGAGCACCAAAACTGGAATGTTAACCTTTAGGTGCCCAGCTTCAGATGGGACAGTCACACTCAAGTTAAGCACCCAAATTCTGTCCCTARCAGGATGAATTCTGTGCCTGAGAGCAGGATCCCCCAGGCAGAATGACCAGGACAGAGCTGCCTGGAGGGTTTTTGCTGGCCCAGGAGGGCAGAGACCTGGCTCTGTAGGTGTGATGACTACAGGGAACCGTCTCCCATGTCCTGCTGTGGGCTGCCTGCGTGTACAGGTGTCCTGTGCAACCGGCTCTCCTCTGCCCTCRTGCTGAAGGAAGGAAGGAATGCCAGATGTGCAGGGAAAGGAAGAGAGAGAATGACTGCAGGGTCTGTGAAAAGCCCTCCCTCCACAAGTGAGTATGCTTTCCTCCCTGAATTACTGGAGACAGAGACCTGGAGCTTTCTAGGGGACACCACTCCTGGCTGAGGGYTGGAAACACACTCCATCCTGCCCACTGCATCTCCAAGTCATGTTTCACTCCCTTTCCACGCTTTTCTGGAAGAAGCTTTTATGAGCCTGAAGTCAAGGGTGCTTTGAAAGGAGGTTGAAACTCTCCCAAGTCCTGGAAAGTGCTATTGGCACCAGGACATCCAGAGAAGGTGGCTGATGGCAGCAATGACCACACAGGAAAGGTCAGAGCATCTGATCCTGATATCCAGGCAAAAATCTGACGTGGAGTTTGGGAGGAGAAAATCACTGATTCAGGCAAATCGGTGGTGACACTGGGTTAGGGTGACAGAGCAGGCTTTGTGAGGAGGGATGAGCATCCTTGGCCTTTCAGTTCCACAAGGATGAGGCATTGCCAGGGTTAACGCTGCTGCTCCAACTAAAAGCTCTGAGGAGGAAGAGCTAAGCAGAGAGAGTGAACAGCTCTRGCCCTGGCTGCTCTTAGGAAAGCCCATGTGGCAGCTGGCCTCCAATCAACATAGGTGGGGACCTTTTCACTTGCATTTATCCATTTTTAAACATCTGCAGGGCTTTGAAGCACCTTCCAGCACGTCACAGGTGAGGTTACACTGAAAAACCCTGAGCTTTGTGCAGCTGTTTAAATTGGGGAAAAAAATGGAATGGCACTTACTGCCGGGCTTCCTCCAATGCCCCCGCCAAGGTCACTGCCAAGCTGAAAGAGAGAAGGAGAGAGAGGAGAGGAAGACCGAGATCATTTAAGCTGAGTGTCAGATGGCCGGAGCGGAGCCCGGGCGCCGCGAGCGCGGATCGCTCCCGTGTACAGGACAGACAGAAATGCAGTGCTGGAAAGCACAGGGAACAGAGGGGCTGCTGGGGGAGCAGAGCTACTTGGACAGCTACCCCACTCACTCAGTGTGCACAGGAGCATTTTGCAGGTTAATAAGAACAAAAATCCCTCCCTTCTTGCSCTTGTTGTCTGCACCAAAACCTCCTTTCCTCACGTTTCATGCACCGGTGCTTCCCCTCCTGCCAGACAGCCCCACAAAACCCAGTGGGGTAACTGTGAAATGGCACAAAAATAAAACTGACAGGAAGCTGACTTCCTGAAAGCTTTGGTTTTTGAGGGAGCAGCTATGAACTGCAGGCAAACACAACGAATTTTGGCCGTGCTCCTCCAACATGCGGCTCTTTGCAGCGACGAGGAGGGAGGAGAATGGGATCCGTGCTGGTTCTCACAACAGCTCAGAGAGGGGGGCTTTGAGGATKCTCCCCTCCCTCAGACAGAGAAAAAACAGCTTTATCATCTAATRAGCAGCAAAGACACCTCCCAGGGCACCAGGGTATTTCAGCACCAATTTCTGCCAAGCTACACATTCACAGTCAGAAGTGACTGAAAYAACCCTCCATAAACACAAAAACCTCTCTGGGGCCCTTCTGCAGCCCACCTAGAGCTCTCCCCCAACAAGTTCCCTTCACAAAGCACCCCGACCACATTCCCCATGACAAARCTCATTTTTCAAACCTCCCCATCATTCCACATGCTCAGGAGAATTCAGAGACCAGGGCAGGCTCTGAGGCTTGGCTACAAGCGCTGTTTGCAAGTACAACATCACTCCTGTGAATATTTAAAATGCACTTAACAGATGACTGATAGCCAGGAGGAAACAAGCACAGATCTGCAGTGGTTATTCACTGCAGAGACATCTCCAGGCTTATCTGTGTCCCAGGCTTTTCTTCTCGAGACCAGGCTGATTTTTTTTGCCTAGAATGGAATTTTTTTTAGTCACATTCGGATAAGGAACATGACCTGACAACGTGCACAGAGGATGATGTAAGTGCAGGGGTGAGGTAGGAGCTCGCCCCATTAGGAAAAGGTTGGACTGGCAGACCAGAACATCCCAGCTCACCTTGTGGATGGTTTTGTTCTTCCATTTGATTAGGATTTGGGGAATTAGTTTGCTTTTAAAAAAGCATGTGACAAACTGGGTGAATAAAGGATCCAGATATGTTGTTCAAATGAGTGCTGGTGTGTCAGAATACTGAATAAATGCACCATACAGCTGAAGCAGAAGCTTTCAGGAGCACCCATGCTTAGAGCCAAAAAGGCTCTGACCTTTTCTCTCTGCACAAAAAACTTGGAAATTAACTTTACTCTGATCTCTCCCAGCCTGCTCCCAGTGAGATCTCACAGCAAATGCATTTTATGCTGGTCAAGAGATACCATAAAGCCTCACACCWCTCTCCAGCAGAGCACAGCTAAAAGGGATAAATTACCCTGAGAAGAGCAGCAAAGGTGTAAAACAGTGACTTACCAGATGATAACCAGCCCCCATAAAACCAGTAAAATGTGCCAAATCCCTGTTCTTCCCCGGATCTCCCTCCCATCCCTGGCACCTCTCCTTCCCCACTCCCCACAGGAGCCACCTGATGCAGCATTAGCCACCCTAAGCAGGTGCTGGAGAAGAACAAATCACCCACAATTTGMTTTTTGTTAAGAAGCCTGAAGAGCTTTTTCCTCAAGTGGGACTCAGTTTATTCCTACTTGAGCTCATGGCAGAAGCTGAGATCCTCCACCTTTTGCAGGAGATACCTGTCCATAGAGCAAGCCAGGCTCTTGCTGTCCAGTTTCCTCAGCTTACTTAAGAAATAACWGATAAAAGTGAGTCAAAAGAAGGATCACGCAGAGACCAAAGGAAGCCAGTCAGAGGATGCAAATCCAATTAATATTGAGCTTATAAAATAAGGCTTATTACACTGTCAAGTCTCCCCCACAGAAAGAGCCTGACAGAGCAGAGTTTTGTTCTGCTGACTGCTCTCTAAGCCAAGCCACGGTTTAGATGAATATATCAGATCATTTACATCTTGTTACTGGCTCACTGAGGAGWAATAAATGCAACTATTACACCTCATCCCTATTCAGAGTCTTGCATGCAGATGAACTTCATGCTTTACGTTGGCAGGCAGTGAAGTCCGGGGGAAAAGAAAGAAGCCGGCTCATTCYCAGATATCATTGTGTGCACGGAGGATTTCTGCTCCTGTTGTCTGCAGCAGGAGCAAGGCTGGTTTATCAAGCAGCAAGCATTTTACAAAGGGTATTATGGAAATGACTGAATAATTCTGCATAATCAAGCCAGATGTTAACTATTCTAGCATTTCCTACTACACTCATCACAAGGAGCTGCAGGGTAGGAATCCAACCTYGAAGCAGCTCGTACACTGATATTGGCTGTGAGGGACAGGGAATGACATATTGGGGCTCCTCGAGCTATCCACAAGTCTTCCATTTTCCCTAAATGTCAGGCCTTCTGGGGAAAGTAGAATTTGGATTTATTGGTTAAGACTCCAGCTCTCACAAAAAGGAGAAATAAAAACCTGACTGGCTCAGAGAATTCACCACGAGTCCCCTGTGTGTTTCCAGATTGGACCCAACATCTCATTTCAATGCCGGGAAGCTCCAAACTGCTGAAGCCCTTCTTTAGTGGTTGGAGGGCTCTGCAGAGCACAGCCTGAGCCTCTCCTGGCTCCTGTGCTCAGGCCCAAGCACTGCAGATGTGCTCCAGAGCCGCAGAGCTGGCGCCGAGGAGCTGCAGCTCCTCTTGTCCCTACAGGCAGAGCTGGCTGTGCCCAGACTGAAGAGAGAAGCGACAGCATTTCTACTGCACCAGAAGTTACAGGGGGAAATTAATAAAGAACTGATCAGTCCCCCATCACTTCCCAGTGCAGCAGCACAGAATTTCCTTTTTCTGTTTCTCTTGCCTGTCACCCTTCCATGGCACTGACACTTTCCCCATTCAGCAACTCCAGGTCTGTTTCTCCTCCTGCAAGATGCCCAGATCACAACTTTATTCCCAACTCAGGATGATGGAAGCAATGGTACCAGTGATGTGTGTGAGTAAGAGGGAAGAAGGAAGACAGAGAGAACAGGAACCAATTACCCACGRAGTGTCCTCTCCCATCTGGAGTGACAGGCAGAGTGCAGAAGGAAAGAAACAGATATTAGTCAGGCATGAAGTGCTGCTGAAGCAATTCCCCAGGACCTGCAGCTCTACTTAACCATTTCCATTTGTYTCACKGGCAGACAGACACTCCTGCCAGAARGGCAACYTGGACCTGCCCTACAGGWGAGCCAYRGAACAGCCCTACAGACCAGAGGACCACGATAACACAGCTGCCAGCCCCGCTCGGGCTGAAACGCTCCCTGYCAAGGTGGGGTGGGCAAGGGGCGGCTCTTGCTGGTCCAAGGGAAGTCCCAGCACTGCAGAGCCCTGATCCTGATCCTGATCCCAAAGCTGGCAGGTTTGCCTCTTGCTGAAGAGGTGAAGCCTCTTGCCTCTCTTGCCCAGGTTAAACAGATGCCAGCTTCAGAGGGTGAACAGGGAGTCTCRGCCCCCAAATGCAAAAAAGTTCTTGAAGCAGGAATTCTCTTTATTCCCTCCAAACTCATCCTGCCCCAACAACACCTGAGCAGCCACACAGGTTTAAAGAAGAGGCTGGGCTCAACCCTGTACCAATAAAACCAGTGCCAGCACCTCTTCCCAAACWGCATCAGCACCTTCACTTTGCAGGAGTTGGCTTGGACAGCACCGCAGCTGCTCTGCAGTCAGAGAGCCTTTGCCCTGCAATTCCAGCTCTGGGGAAGCAGTTCTGCTGACTTATGAAGTGCAGCAGGGCTGGAGTTACTGCATTAGGAGGGTTTATTTGCATCTTAACAGCAGCTTGTAATGAAGTGACTCTGCTGAAGTGTTCATGTGATCCTGAGGGGCTACAAGCACTTCTGCAAAATGACGTGAGGCTTTTGGAGCACCGAAAAATAACAGGGAGGGTGGAGCCAGGGACAGAAGCTGCAACAGCCACTGCTCAGCAACTGCCTTGCTGTGTGTCCACAGCCTAATTCAGCACTTCCAGGGCAGCTGTGCATTTTGAGGACCACAATTCATGGGATAACAGGGGACAATTGGTGCCTCCTCGCTCCCTCAGCTAGGAATCAGGAGTCAAGCACCGCAGCTCATGGTGCTGCCTGCACACAGCAGCAAGGAACACAAGGCATTTACCCAACAGGAAYGGGGTGAGATGCTGAGAGCATCGCTGCTGGCAGCCCCCTTGATCTGGGCTAATCCTGTTGAGCTGCAGGACAGACCATGCACGGRCTGCAGGGATCTCACTGCAGACAGGCTCACACAGAGGCATTTTAGTGCCTTTTTTGTAGCTGCTTCCACATCAAGCCAGGCTTGCAGAGCAGTGATGCCTTAGGATTTCAGCTTCTGTATTTCCATGTCTCTGTAACCCTGTAATTCTTTAGTATTTAACTCCAGACTCCACAGACAGTGCTGAGCCCCTGCTCTCCCAGTTTTACACAAAACAATTCTTCTGCAGGCCCCAAACTCAAGGACACCTCACTGTGCCAGGCCCCAAGAGATGGAAACAACAGAGAATTGGGGGGAGCCAAGTTGGAGTTTTTGACTGCATTGGCTGCAATTGCATTTGGAGGATTCAGCCCCAATGTGCAAATGGACAAAAGTGAGAAAGGGTGAAAAACCCATGAGCCATTGTCCATTGTGGGTGCAGCCCCTGGGTGGGCTGGGACTGCCCTGAATGCACCTGCAATAGATAGAACTGCTTTTTATTCTCTGAATTTTGTCCAGTCTTTGGCATCAGCAGAAGGGCTGCTCTCCAAACCAGGGACAGCTATGACAAAACTGCTGGAGGACTGGTCAGGCTGCCAGTACCACGATTTCCACCAGCAAACAAAACCTAGTCCTAACCATTTCCATTCTTCAAAGTGTGAAGAAAAAAAAAAAGAAAAGCAGCTCACAAAGCTCTGGCAGTCCTGTGACTGMTACAACAGCTTTGAGTCAGACATGAATGAGTGACCCACCAAAATAGCTCCTTTTCCACGCCAGCCCTGCCCCAGCAATGGGCACGAGTCCTTTGTCAGAAATCTGAACGGATGTCCTTTGTACTCATCAAACCTGAGAAGCCTGGATGAAAGGAGGCACTCAGCTCCTCAGAAAGTCTGGAGGAGCACTCTGGGAGAGCACAAATGGGTATTGGGGCTGACCTGCCACAGGCACTGTCACACTGTGGTTCCAGGAAAAGGTAAATGAAGTAATTTCCTAAGATCATACACAGCAAATCACCTGCAGAGCCRGGAGGGGAATGTGGCACCCAGGGCAGACTTTTTGTGTATGACTCAAGTGAAGGTCGAATTTTGGCTTTTTTACAAAACACTGGGGAGCTCCTAAATAACCCCAACACTCAGGGTGCTGTCCAGTGAGGCTAGACTTWGAATTGCCCACTTGGAAGCAGTCAGGCAGGGATGGAGTGACACCAGCAGCCCCTGCTCACAGCCTTTGGGATGAGGCAGATGCTTCAGACTGTTGGAACAGGGGGTTCTTCTCTGTGGTGCCTGGAGAGTGCTCAGCTCCCACCCTCCACCCCGCTGGAGGTGGGACACAGCCCTGGATGGTGTGGAACAGACCCTTGGGGTCTTGGGGTCACCCCCTAAATCCATCCTGATTACAGAGAGGAGCCCAGCAGCCCCTGGAACAGCCCAAAACAGTCCAGCTATTACAAAAAAAAGTCTGGATAGCCAGTGTTTATCAAACAGCTTCTGAGTTTAGGACATAAATCAACCTGAGCAGCTGCCAGTGTCRAATCAATAATATTCTTGTAGATGAGTGGCTAGAGTATTAAATAAAATCCTTACATAACAGACAATCCCAGCCTGGCCATTGCTGCAGATTTACTGCTCTGCCCCCGGGGTTTCAAGCCAGCTTTCCTGGCTCCTGGCCACAGTGCCCCGCTCCCATTCCATGCAGGAGCTCCCAATGTGSCCACAGAGCTCTCGTGCTCCATGGATTTGCAGAACAAATGAACACACAAAAAGGTTTAAAAGTAAAAATGTCACTTCAGCACAGAGAGACACCCTGCAGAGCTCTGCATCATTGAGTAGGAGTTGGGGGACTGACTGTAACCTGCATGAAATTCAGCCACTTGAGGGGAAAAAGCATCAAACTCCAGCTTTTGGGATGCACTCAGCAATCTGAGGAAGTTTTGTTTCTCCCCCATTAGTGACTYGTATGGCTGCTTTACACTGTGGAGCTGGACATCTCAAAGAGTTTTGTAAAGTGAGTTATCATTTTATAGAAAAAGAAATTTGAGCAGAGAAGAACAAAATCTGCCCATGGTGGCAAACAGGGACACAAAAGGGTTTTTTTTCTCCCTAAAAAGCAGCCTTCCAGAAGTCCTACAGCAAGTCTGCTCTGGTTATAAGCAATGCTCTGGTACCAATGATCCTTCTTCTCTTTTTTTTTTTGTTTTTAATTGTTAACACATGCTCAGCATCTGTGTATGCATGTTACATTTAATAGCAATTACAGAACTCACTATGGAGATAAAATAAGATTTACTCACTAAAGAAATTAACCTCTCAAGCAGCTGGAGCCTCGCTGGTCATGGGGATAAATATCCAGCAATTCAAATGAACAATATTAATTTGGTGTTTATGTGGTTTTTACACCACRCAGTCTCTATTTAAATGCCTGGAATGAAAATAAAAGCCCACGGTTTAAGGAATGGAAATGCAGAAGGACATTTTCMATGGAAGTTAACGCTGCTGTTGGTCTTTCTGGGTAAGTCCCATCGGGACTTTCACTGTCAGAACATCCCTCTGATGASACAGCCCCTCCAAAGGAAAGGGGGYAGAAGAGGGRACCAGCAGATGACACTGAGTGGGGGTGACAAACTGGCTGAGCTCCTGCCAGCAGCCTCTTGCAGAGCTCCAGCTGCCTTTGAGCCACTCCCAGGACAGAGGCAATGTCACAGTCACAGCGTGCAGCCTCAGCCTGCCCAACAAAGCAGGGCAAGAAATGCATTCAAAAGACTTCAGGAGCAACAGAAAGGGAAATTTCAAAGCTGAACAACTGAGCCATTGCTGGCCCCCAGGTGGTTTTGAGACTCTGTGAAGAGCTCAGTCCTTCTCCAAGGGGCACACTAGGATGGGTCTCTCACCTCCTCCCCACGCACAGAAATCAGCCGTGTGGGATCTGCAGTTTGAGACTGATTTTGGCACAGAAAATGTGGTTTAATATTATCCTGAGATTCAAATGCCAACCCTCTTGGCAAGCCCTGCAGCCCAGGACATTGCCCAGCAATTTGGGTAATACCAGGTTAGGGTTTACCCAGCTTGAAACTTGTTAAACACATGCCCACAGCAACAAACACACACACAGATCCCTTTCACTCACTAATTAAGCTCATTATCTGAAACTCATTTAGGYTGGAAAAGACCTCCACACCATTCCCTCAGCACTGCCAAAGCCACCACTAAACCATGTCCCYGAGAGMCACATCTACACGATTTTTAAGTGACCCCACCACTGCCCTGGACATCCAATTCCATGGCTTGAAAACSCTTTTGGGTGAAGACAGATTTCCTAATATTCAATTTAAAGCTCCCCTGGTACAAGAAGCCACTTCCTCTCATCCTGTCAGTTGTTACCTGAGAAAAGAGCCTGACCTACRGAAGAAAAAGCCAGATCTTTGACGCATTTGATGCAATAGCACTTCACCAGAAAGCATCCACCTTCAAAAACCACATCGAGATTCAGGTTTTTTTAGCACTTCCCCATTTACTCAGCTGAGAGARYGCTGGCCCTGCAGCCCCAGGCACARCTACTCCCCATCCAGACAGGATCATTTTGTCAGATCACACTCCATAACCCCACAGATGTACTTAAGGCTCGAGAAAAAAAAAATTAAGTAAAAGCCTGGTACCATTTCAGCTAACAGCTCTGCTGCCAAAGCTGCTCACTAAATTAAGCCCATTAACACCAGCTGAGAGACAGCTCCTCTCCCAAAACCGAGTTTTAGCTCCACTGTGTCCATTTATTTGTGTGACACTAATGAGAGACAAAGGGTTACTGTGAGAAGCCTGCAAGGCAGCACAGAGGAATTTAAGTGTGAACCATTCTGTGGCACCACCTTGTGCAGTGCCTTGTCACAGTTCCCAGTCCCAGGGTTTTAGGGGCACATCTTGGGAAGGGCTACACAGGTCACTGCCTGTTTTCCCAGTGAGTCCAGCTTGACCATTYTGCTGATTCCCAGTAAGAGCAGTGTCCCTGCTAACCAAACAAACTGGTTTAGTGCAGAGCCTCCAGCATTGGGACCTCTGTGAGTGCTGGCCAACAAGGGTTAGATTGTTTGCAGCTCATGAGCCCATGAAGCTGGAAATGGGTTTAGTGCCTGCTTTAATAAGATTATGGCAGCTTAAAAAAAGATATATATGTATTTGACAAATAAGGATTTGTTGAATTGGGGCTCATCCAGCTGCCTCCCACCTCTGTTATTCTGACTCAGCAGTTGAAGTGCACCTGAACCAGGCACCAYGAGACAAAGCTTAAGCAAGACAAACCCACTGCAGATCTGAAAACCACCCAGCTGTGTCCAGTGGGGCAGTCTCACTTGATTTACACAGTGCAAACAYTCCAAGGAGTGCTTCCTACCCCAGGGAGCTGGGGGTCTGTGTGCTGTTCCACGCCATGGGAACAGCCCTGAGGCTGAGCCTTGGATTCACCACTCCTCAATGCCTGGCTGCCACCATCCCAAAACACCAGCACTGACCTCTCCCCTGCTGCTGCCTYCTTGCTAAGTGATTTTCTCACTGCAGCTCATGCCCAGCTCACTCCCCAGAGCAGCAGGGAGGTGTGAGTGCTCCCACTGGAGCCTGACCCTGTTTGTGCCAGGGCAGGTGCCTCGAGAGCAGCTCTGGCACAGGGACTGCACAGGGAKCTCCCTCTCGACCTCACTGCAATTAAAATGTCAACAATACTAAACCACGACAGGCTCTGGAGAATACACAAACAGGAAGACACAAGGTTACAGCCTGAGAGATTTAGCACTGAAATTCAGGAGGGCTGGGAATGGGATGGAACAAATGCCTTCTTGAAAGGGAGCCTGAATCAAACAGAAAGCAGCGAAATTAAAACAACTTTTCTGTTTTTTCTATGGACAGGAAACACACAGAACAAATATATCCACTGGCCATGGGGATTCTACAGCATGCAGCAACATTCATTTAAGAGCAGGAAAAGCCTGCAAGTTGGTACAATAATTCTGGTTAAATCCTCCTGGAGYTTCAGGAGTCAGCACCAGGAGCTCAGCTCGCCGAGCATTAAAAGCACAAATGATCAAGGCTTTGCAGAGATAAGCACAGCTCCAATTATCTGCCATCAGCCCGAGAGGATGTGCTGCTTACCAAGCTGTCCAGCCCTCCTCCCAGGAGGTCCACAGCTCCCATCTGCATGGAGGACACCTGGGGAACATTCACAGGTGGCCCCAGGTCCAGGTTGAGGAGGTCACCCAGGAGATCACCCTGGGATGGGATGACCTGYGGCTGCTCCAGGTTTGTGGTGGTCGTGGTGCCCACGGGGCTGTCGCCAGCATCAGTGCTGTGGGRGGAGAAAAAGGAGCAGAAAAGACAAATCTCAGTCACCTCTGGCCTCCAGTTCCAGGTTCCCAGCATAGGGAAACACAGTTCGAGGTAGAAACAGTCAAAAGGTGTTCCCAGCAGCTGGTTTTGTCACTGTCCTGCAGCAGGCAGTTCTGGCACGTGGCTCTTTACCACAGGCTTTGAGCACAAAGATTTTCCTTGCACTGGCCATGGTTTTCAGCCCAGCAAAGGGAATCTTCCAAGGGGTGAATTGTCCCCAACCTGGGAATCACAGACCCACTCCTAAACAGAGAGCCATGARCACCACATGGGCTTAACACCGAAAATAAGCATTTCCTATCTCAGCATAAACCTACAGAGATGATTTTCAGCCCATTGGGCCTGAGGATGACATGGAAATGCAGGGAGAAATAAATAATCCAGATTTCTTCAGAGATCTAACACTGATAAAACCCTGGAGCCCTTACTCTAACCAGTGCCAACTGCAGCACTCCCCTCAGATCAAGATTAATCACCTTCTCCTGACCAGCAGGACCATCGGTCTTTTCTAATTGAAAAACTCAATCTAAAATTGATTCCTACCTTCTATCAATAATTTCCTTTCCTCTGAGTTAGCAGGCACGCTAATTACTAGTCTAGAAACACTCATTATACAGCTCCCAAAATTTATCATCATATGCAGTCTGGCTACCTTTTATATTCACTTGTCACTGAATTTGGTAACAAGGAGAGGGTAAAAAAAAAAAAATAACTGTAGCTCTTGGAGAACTCGCTACGATGTATTTATTCTTTAAATCCAGAGATTAAAGAGACCATATTTTTGACAATTAAATAGAGCTCATATTTTAGACATTAAAATCTATTTTATATTCTTGTAACTGATAAAATGAGTTCTAGTTGATGCTGCTGCAGTATTTTAGACAATTAAAATCTATTTTATATTCTGGTAACTGATAAAATGATTTCTAGCTGGTATTGCTGCAGCCAGCAGGTAAGAGCTGTGGGAATTAGTGTCCTGACAAGGTGTTTAACTGCTGYAAGCACTGCAGCTCCTGATTCTGAGCAGCCCAAATTCTCTTATCCCTCATCCAGCTATTGAAGGGACAGATTCAGCCACAGAGTGTAAGCTGCTCYCAATCCTGGTGCCAAGAGGGAAAGATGGAGCAGAAGGAGTGCAGGATGAATTAGTTACCAGGCAGCAGCAGAGAGGGCTGAAAGCTTCTTTGCATTAAAAGCTTTAAARCCATGATAGCACTAATATTAGCTGTCGTTTCTGCTGCTGCCTGCAGCAGGGACAGTGCTGAGTGTGCTGAAGTGAAGCTCTGTGRTTCTGTGATCCACCCCCAGCCTGGGAACGGGAAGGAACAGCCTCTCCGGGAGAGAGGAGCATCACAAAGTGCTCGGTTCCTTCCCAGGATATAAATCCCTCTAACACTCCGCCCCTTCAACACTTACTCATCCTTCTCCTGATGGAGACACAGAAATCCCTCYGTGCCTTGTGCAATGCTGCTGCCCCAAAGCCCAGCCAGAAATGAGGAAAGGACAGAGATAAGGCAGCTTGTTTAAAAAAAAAAAGCAAAACCCCAAGGTTTCCATTTGTGGAGAAAGGATCTCTTTAAAGAAATTCCTATGAACAACTTTATTCCTATTAAAAAAAAAAATCTTTGAAAGAAAAAAAATTAATAGAGTATTTGGGTTAAAAAGGGCAAAAAGATTTGATGTAACCTTTCCCCCTTTACAGCAAAAAGACTTGATATAACCTTCCATTTGTGGAGAATGGGTCTCTTTAAAGAGATTCCTATAAACAACTTTACACAACTTTATTCCTATTAAAAAATGGTTTCTTTGAAACAGAAGAAATGAATAAAGAATATTTGGGTTTAAAAGGGCAAAAAGACTTGTTATACATAACCTTCCATTTGTGGAGAATGGATCTCTTTAAAGAAATTCCTATAAACAACTTTATTCCTATTTAAAAGAATATTTTCTTTGAAAGAAAAGAGATTAATAAAGAATATTTGGGTTAGAAAGGGCAAAAAGACTTGATATAACCTTCCATTTGTGGAGAACAGGTCTCTTTTAAAGAGATTCCTACAAACTTTAAACAACTTTATTCCTACTGAAAAAAATTTATTTGGAAGAAATTTATCAAGAATATTTAGGTTAAAAAGGGCAAAAAGACTTGAAATAACCTTTCCCTCTTACAGCAAAAAACTTGATATAACCTTTCATTTGTGGACAATGGGTCTCTTTAAAGAAATTCCTATAAAAAACTTTACTCCTATAAAAATATTTTCTTTGAAATAAAAGAAATTAATAGGGAGTATTTGGGTTAAAAAGGGCAAAAAGACTTGTTACACATAACCTTCCATTTGTGAAGAATGGATCTCTTTAAAGCAATTCCTATAAACAACTTTATTCCCATTAAAAATACTTTCTTTGAAAAAAAGGAAATTAATAAAGAGTATTTGGGTTAAAAAGGGCAAAAAGACTTGATATTCCCCTTTTCAGCAAGAAAACTTGATATAACCTTCCATTTGTGGAGAACAGGTCTCTTTAAGGAGATTTCTATAAACAACTTTATTCCTATTAAAAAAATTCTTTGAAACAAAAGAGATTAATAAATAATATTTGGGTTAAAAAGAGCAAAAAGACTTGATGTAAGCTTTCTCCCTTACAATCTTGGGTTTGCCCATATGAATTGRGGATTTGGCCCCATGAGTTCAGCCTCCAGCAATTCCCAGATGTTGCGAGTCAGAAGGGTTGGTGTYACAGCCTGAACCAGAATGAAAAATTTCCTGCAGCCACCTGTGAATCAGGGAAACACAGACTCCTGTTCAAGTCTAACCAGGCTCTTCCTCTCCCAGGAGCCCTGCTAACATCTTCCCAAATTTCCCAGCTGAATTCTGGCTGAGCAGGGGTGGTGGGAGCCACCACACGAGGAAAYCCTGCCAAGCACTCAGCCTTCTCCCCCAGCTCAGGATACATCTGCAGCTCTGTGACACTCTGCTCACTGCAGAGGCAGAACATTTCACCATCTGGGAGMTGTTCAATGGGTCTTCCCATCAGCTGAGAGTTGCAAGAAACCTGCCCTACAGCGCCTTGAATGAAAAATAAATGAATCAAAATGCTGTGTTTCTGCCAACCAGAAACCCTGCTAGGTTTATAGGCAGGGAAGCAGCACTCAAGGCAGCACTGTCTAGACCCTCTGAAGCCACGTTCATTGGGGACATCTCCACATTTTTATCTCTCACAGTGCAATCAGTCTCTAGAAGATGGGTCAGCCACCAGGACAGTCACTGGAGTGCAGGAATTGTACAGAAAATCACCTCACCTCACTGTTTGGACTTATCTTTGACTGGACAYCCTTAACCTGCCTTAAATTGATGCAGAAAACCCCAATAATGGGGCCTCTTGAGGTGAGATCCCATCAGAGAAGCCTGGTGTGCCATTAAATTAACTCAWTTTTTTTAATTTACCACTACATCAYTATGATCAGTGTGCACCACGCTCTGCTGAGCACCCCTCAGACCTTCCTCCAGCTTGCTGAGTCCTGCAGGTTTGGTTTTTGGGTTTTTTTAAGCAAGGGCTCTGCYAAAATCTGAAAAGATTTAAGGTCAGCACAATGAGCATGAGAGTCAAGCACATCCCCAGTAAATGCAAGAAGCTAATAAAAACCTGCTCCTTCAAAGAGCTGAATTCCTTCAGCTAAATCCCCTAAAATGCTCTTTTCTGCAGTGACCTGGAACAGCAGTGTACAGGAAGGCTGGAAACACCAAAACCCAAAGCTACTACAACTCATTTGGAGACAAATCTTTGATTAGGAGAGGTAGGAAAGTGGCCACTGCCTTTTCTGTCTGACTGGTAAATTTGTGCTTGCWGATTCTGGGTCAGTGCAGCCAGACTTGATTTCATAGGCAGGGAGAAAACAACCCAGCTTCCCAAAGCCAGCCACCACTGAAATAGCTTGGGTTGCTAAGAATAGCAGAGAAGTGGTGTCAGAAAATAGAAAAGGAGCAGCATCGCTCACTGATTTATCAGTGCAACAGCAAAAAATAGCACTGCAAATGTCACWTTGGGAATATTATTAAAAGGTAAGCCTGGCTACTCTGCCTCTTGCTGCAAGGTACGCTCGTTTCTGTAATTAATGCCGTTAGTGCAAATAGCAAACTGCTCACCTGAGTGAGGGAGCGTGGGGACAGACACAGCTGGGACCATGGCACTGCCTGCTCTTGCAGAGCTAAGCTGCTGCCAGGACAGTGATCCASGGAGGCACTGAAGCACCAGGCAATGAGGCAAAGTGTTTCCCCACRTCCCAAAGGGCAGACAGAGCACATTTAGCCATCGTCTTGTAAGTCTGAACAGTGATGGGGCTTAGGTGGCTTTTGTACTTCCCTTGCTTTAGAGGCACCAAGTGAGAAAGGGAGTTTCACTGATCCTTCTCCACTTCATGTTCCAGCAGTGAAGGATCCCTGGACTTGCCTGTTCCAGGAAAAGTGATCCTGGAGAAAAAGTATTTCAGGAGACAGGCTCACAAAGCTGCACTGCTGCTGAAGAAAAGCTCCTACAAGATTCCTACAAAATCATCTTCTGAGAGATGGCTATTCTCACTCTAGTCCTCTTTGCACCAGCAACCCAAAGCTTCTGCTTTCCCAGTCAAACTCATGGCAAGAGCACTTAGAGCCAATGTCTTAAAAAAAAAAAAATCACAGCTTCTCACACAGGAACTTTGATACTTCCKGTGTCTTCTGACCCAAAAACTCAGAAACTCCATACCCAAGATACCACTGTGCACAAAACAACCTGCAAACTACCAATAAAATCCCACCAGGATGTTTTAAAGAATCCTGGCATCTTATGAACTATTTGCTAGGAAGGAAGAACCAACCCTGCCCACGATGCCCACRGCTACCCGAGCTCACCTGCCATGGTGGATGGGCAGGTGCTTGCGGTGGATGCCGTGGCTGCCCTCCACGAAAGCGTTGGGGGGTTTGTGGTACACAGAAGCCARAGATCCGATGTGGCAGATGAGCTCATCCAGCAGGGTGGGCTCAATCAGATCGGTCTCCTCGGAAATGAGCGGCTTTTCCGAGAGCACCACTTCCTTGGCGGTCACCGGGTCCGTGGAGAGAAGGCGCCAGTAGATGTAGCCACGATCCCGCAGGTCTGGGTTGTCAGAATCCTGAGACAAAGCAATGCATCACTCAGAGCTCTGAAGTGAACTAATGCCTGTAATCACTTTATTCTTCCAGCAGTGATTCTGCTGGATTAAAAAACCCCAACCACCCGGCTGCCACAGGCACAGATTTCTAAATGATGTTACAAACTGCTTGTTGTGATGAACATCCTGAAATTAAAAATGAGAACCAAAGGTATTAATGCCTGGCTTCCTGCTCAGCTGGTCAGGGAGCAAAAAAGCTCCAGATTTACATCCCACAATTGTCCCAATCCACAGAGCTGTCAACTGCTTTCCAAACTCTCCTGCCACTAAGTGTTAGGAGAAATCCAGGAGAAAAGAACGTGAGTGGCAATGASTCTGTTACACACAAAGAGCAGACACACAACACTGCACAATGCTCCAAAATTCTTGGAAATGTATGACTTTCCCAAGGGCATTGCTGGACAAAAAGATGCTGCAGAGCTACATTTAATAAACCATATTCTTTAGAGGAAAAGAGATCTTATTTATCCTGCCTTTTAGTTAACTAATGAAGTATGGAGAGATGCTAATGATACACACTGAGGATAGTTCATCACTTCTCCAGCTGTCAATAATCCCCTTGTTTTACTGCAGATACTTTTGCCTCTGCATGAAGTGCTGATTATTTCTCTCCTGTTTAAGCAGCTCTGCCCAGAGCAGCAAAGTCACTAGGGATGGTTTGCTGATAATGTTCTAGGSAGAGAGAGGTGCTGTGGTTTTATGTCACAGCAAACTGTTCACGGAAACAAGAGCTGGGATTTTTAATCCTCACATCAGCAGAAAAAGAGGATAAATGTTTCCAAGGTTATTTTTCCCCTATAAAACTCCAGCAAAATACTGTACACCTTACCAGCCACCCTCCAGGCATTTCTTTTTCTCTCCTGTGCTCTCATTGCTGCTGCTGCTGACCTGTTAGAACCTTCATCTGCTACCTGCCTCAAGACATTCTCAAACCTCTGCTTGTGAAGAGCCTGAGCTGAGCTCATTCTGCTCRTAAGGACCTAAATAAATCTCTCTGTTGTCTCACACATTGTCTCTGCAGAGCTGATGGCAGAATTGTGGACTCTTTACACCCKATGCCCTCAGCAATCCCTGCCAGACTCTGCTCTCAGGGTTTCTGCAAGGGCACACATGAAAGGCCACATTCTCCTAGCTGCACCTACAGATCCAAGGCTGGCTGTTTATTCCCACAGCCAAACACTCTGGAAACTCTGGTAAATGTACTGAAACAACAGGCTCACATCTTGCCTCATTTCTCTCCCAATTCTCCCCTCTCCAGGGCGTGCAGACACACCTGCAGTGCAACATCAATGAACCCTGGCTAGCTCAGCTCCCCACCCTACAGAAAAAAAGGGATGCAGAGGTCTGAAACCTCAATTCCTGTGTTTCTTCCATCCCCAGCTGCTCCACTGCTATTTTTACCAGCGCTGGCTCCTGCTACAATCACACCTGCAGTTTGCTGTGCACACAAACCCTRAGACACTCTGAGTGCAACAATACCTAAGCTGGGGAAAGAAAACACACGTGTAATTACTCTCCCACTCAAGTGAAAAACACYATCCCTACCTAGAAATCAGACCTCAAGGCATAAGGTTTTTCAGTGTTTTACAGCCAGTTATCCTACACTGACTCGTTATTCATATAAAATACAAAAAGCCAGACTGAATCAACATTTGTGACAAACAGAGGAAAAAAACCAGACGCCTGTTATATTCCTAGGGTGCTATTARATGTTTTGTGACTCAGCACAGTGGGTTTTAGYTCTCAGTACCTTTCTTCTGTTGGCWCAACCAAATGATCCAGYACGTCCTTGGCCCACTCCTCTCTGATGAGGAGCTCAGATCCTGCCTAAGAGCAGGTTTTGAAGCAAGAAAAGCAGGTCACGGGTTTGTTGCCGCTGACCAATGCAACTCCCCAAAGGAATGAGCGAAAGTTTTAAGTACAGTAAATCCACAGGCGTAATTTCTTGCAACAAAGAGGATCAAAAAGGCCAGCTGATGACTGACTCCAGGTTTTCTGCTCAGAAACAATCAGGGCCCATTCAGCTGGCAGGCTATTTTTATCACTTGACACAGCAGGTCTGGAGAGGAGCTGCTCTTTTTGGGCATTTTACCCCAGTCATCACAGCCAGGGAGCCCAGGAAGATCAGCTGAGCTCTTACCCACCCCTGCCACCAGGACGTTTGTGTCCTCTAGAAGCACAGCAGCTGTGTCTGCCATCTCCAGCCCAGCCTTGCCTGCAGTGATCTGAGCTCTAACTCAGCACCTCATGCATAATGAATCCATGATCTTAACCCAGTGCTACAGCCTCCAGCAAAGCTGCCACATTGGTTGACATTATCCAAACACAAAGGAAAAACCCCAAATTTCAGTTTTCTATTCCATAGTGCTGCTTCAACTTTGCTGTTGACAGAACAAAGTCTTTGCCAGGCTCCTTCCCTCTGTTACAGCTCCAGATGTTTCACTGCGAGCCACCTTCAAGGAGTAAGAATTCTGGTTTCTTGATAATTATACACCGTCCCTGATTTTCCATTTAGTGAGAAATGGGGAAGGAATTCAGACAAAGCAAAAGCTAAGAAGGAGAAAGCAGATTTCAGATGGTAACAGGCATAGAGCAGCTTTTAAATGGGAATGGGGAAGGAGAAGGGAATACCCTTGAATCCAACCTACTGCAAAGCTGATGGCCTGGCAGATGGGAGATACCAAGGGCAGGCCAGCACAGTGTGTGGAGGGCTCTGGGTCACTGGAMACCTTGGCTTACCTGTGTGGCCAGGCTCAGGACCTGCTGGACCAGCTCCTGTGTCTCAGAAGGCTTTTTCAAGAACAGCTTCACTATGGCAGTCAGGAGGGTGAGCTGCACCTGAGAAAGGGGAGCACAGGAGACATAAAAAATTTGTCCAGGCTTTAGCAATGTCTCACAAATCTTCACTGATAGAAAACATTACACTTGAGTTTTCTCACAGCCAGTGAGAATTACACCATTCTTTGCCAGTGAAATCCACGATAATGAGACTCAGCCTCTTGCAAAATACTGCAAAAAACARACAAGTCCCTGAGGAGCACACTGAGGTTTGTGGCATACTGTGACATACTCCATCACTACTCCTCTGAGTTCTGGTCCCCACTATAGCCATTGCCCSAAAATATACACAACATCTGGAACTCCCTTCAGTTCTGTTTCATCCTTCTAAGAAGGGAAGTCTTGGAGACAGACAAAAAAGAAAATGCAGCTTTTTATTTGAGCCCAATATTGACGCTTTCACTGACAGACACTGTCTGACCACTGCAGCAACATTTACTGTCCATCCCATAAACACACTGCACCAAACACTACAGATGAGATGCACACTGCAGCTTTACCTGAGTGCTTTCATCGTGGAAGCCCTCCAAGAAACTCTCCAGCAGCTCATCCGCGTTGTCGATTCTTTCTGCGTATTCGCCCACTATCCAGATCATGGCAGCTCTGGCATCTGGCTCGTCCAGGGAATCCAGGTTCTCACAMAGAGTGGCAATGATGCTTTCATACCTGGTTTATCAGAGTATAGGTGTGTTACTGGGGTGAACTGGACTTTGTCTCACTCCATTTCTGCCCMCTTCATTGCAGAGAATCCTGCACTTAATTCACACCCTGTATTTCTACACAAGCAGCATTTTCATTYCACTACAGAAGATATTCCCAGCCTTCTTTTTTTTCCCCCAAGCTGAGCACTGAGATCTCACAAGGTTTTCGCAGTTCAGTCAATCAGCAAGACCACCCAGATGTGGAGTTCAAGATAAAGCTGCCTCCCTTTCTGTTTGCTAATGGGAATGTTTGATCCAACAGTTCAAACCACGAGGCTCAGTTAGATCTTGCAGCCCTGCTAAAGTCTTCACCCAGTTTAGAGTTCCCACGCTATTGCCTTTCCCCCAAGGCTTTGCTGTAAACCAGACACTGATTTAGCTTCCCCCATTTATGAGTGTGGGTGTTCCTGTCACAAGCAGGGAATTTGTGAGACTGACAGCAGAAATGGTCAGGGAGGTCTGCAGATGTCCTGTATTATTTTTTAGGTGATCATGAAATCTCTGTTGTAAAACATCACTGCAGTTCTGTGGCTGAGGAGACAAAATCTTATTGCAGAGCAGAGACAAAATCTTATTGCAGAGCCAGCAGAAGAGAAGCTGAGCTCTGCCCAAGCCAGAGGGAACATGATGGGAAAAGCCAGCAGGGCTTTGTTCAGCACAACCTGATGGGGATCTCAGACCATGGGAGCCACRAACTATCAGCCCTGTGGGAGGAGACTTCTACACCTGATGGGTTTCTAGAGGAGATCAGCAAAAGCAGAAAAGCYTGACGCTGTCAACTTGGCCAAATTCTCTTTCTGGCATTCTCTGCAAGAGCTTTACCAGCTTTTGATCCAGGCTTCAATACAGACTGGTGGGGAAAGAAAAGCTTTCAATTCGAAAACAAGCCAGGATGACACCTCACCTGGAGCCAATATCTGAATCATACCAAACTAGGAGTGGGATTACTGCTTCCACCTTTGCTCCAGAGCCCTGGTAACCTGAGTTCTGCACTCTTCTGATAAGGGCAGGCAAAGGCTTCCAAAAAAAGAAAAAAATTTGCTACTTGCACACACGCACTTGTTGGGGTACTTGCGGAAGATGTCCTTGATGACGACGATGGCCTCCTGCACCACGTAGTTGACCTTGGTCTGGATGAGGTCCAGCAGYGTGCTCACACAGCGCTCTGCAGATTGCTGGAGACAGCAGAGAAACACGATTTAGAAAGCTGAACCAACACTCCTGCCCCCACAGCACACACTGTGGAACAAGGCATGAGTATAAGGCCCAGAGAGGGGAAAACAAGAGGACAAGAGCTACCAACTCTGTTCAGAAATGAACTCCAGGTTAACAAAAGGTTGTTTGTTACAGTGGAGACACCAGCTCCTGTAAAAAATTAAGAGAAGCAACTGTGCCAGTAGATAGTCGGGTCAGCACATGAGACCTTGAGAACATCACCTACACTGCAATTTGTATCACCCTGGGGCTGACACAGGCACTGAATGAGCTCTCTGGGGCTTCCCAGGGCAGGCARTCAGAGCTGGGAAAGCTCTGACAGGGACTGCTGGAAGGCTTCTAGCAAACCCAAAAGGCAGGAGAGAACAGTGTTGTCAAAACTAGCAGCAAAAAGCAGCTCCCAGCAGCAAGAGGTTCAGTATTTTTGGGGTGAGGTCACTAACAACACATGAATATCCAGCTAAWAATAGAAATTCAGCTGTTCCTCACGCAGCTCTGACATTAATTAGTTCACAATTCACAGGCACTGAGAGGACTGGACACTGTCATGCTCCAGGAACCAGAAGGGGAATCAGAGATAATTCAGGGAGGTCTGTCCCCAAACAGCCCAGCGAGGCAGGACAGCACAGGAGCAACCAACTTCAGCAGCAGAKAGGCTCAAATAAGGGAAGTGATTTGGTGATTAGCAGAGCACACRTGAAGCCTCATTACACAGCTGGTGATTAATGTGAGAAGCAGGCTGCTCCTGACAATCGCCTTCAGAACACTCAGAAAGGATTCGGGCTGGAGACAGACACTGTAGGGCACAAACAACAGCAGTGTAGGTGGATTGTTCAATTCCACTCAGTTAACAGCCCCCTTGACTTACACAGTGCTTAAAGGCTGAGCAGGAGGGGGAGGAGTGAAATGGCATTTTAGTCACAGGAATCRGTTTTGTGAGAATGGGCAAAAACCTCAAGGACAAACCTCGAGACTTGTAGAGCGGAATTTAGGTCAGGGATTAAAACCTCTTGGCAATTTCCTGCCCTCGTGGGTATCGTACACAGGGCCTGGCAGCACAAACAGGCTGACATGGGGATCAGCCAAGGCAGGAGACACCACAAAACAGCGTTTGCTCTGTCTTTGCAAACTGGCAAAGGCTCCCATGAAATCCACACCAAACAGAAAAAAACCCAATGMAATTGTCAGAGCGAAGAGAGGCATCTCATAAAAATGTGTGATTGGTGCCATATTTTTTTATGATACCTGTCCCTCCTTAGCACAGCTTTATGGGCACTGTGCCACCACAGGGGCAGTGAATGGCAACCTGACAATGTCCTGCTCTGATCCCTCCTGCTCCAGAAGGGATTGAAGGTCTGGGACCTGGAAAACTCTTCCACTTCACGGAGATTGACCATGGACCTGGCTCCACACACTTTGACTTTGCTCACTTCAAGCCCTGCTCAAATTCCATGCAAGAGAGATGCTTCAGAGTTTGAAATGTCACCTTTTTATCTCAGTAACTTTCACCTGCWATTTTAACAAGTGACCTGATAGGATTAAATCTGTCCCAACCCAGCTCCGCAGAGCCTACAGCACCAGTTACTGCCAGCACTAAGCAAAGTGTACAACTAACAGAGCTTTAAGAGCTGCACAATTCRAGGAAAAGCAAATTAAAGTTTCGTTTTCTTTTCCTTAGACACACTGAAGCGTTATTTTTTCCAGGAAAAGCACAACATCCACTTTGAAATATGCAGCAATGATTTTCAGCCCAAGAGTCCCTCAGAAAGTGAGCCATGGTGGGCGCATGCCCAGARGAGCAGTCCCTCTATCAAACACATCTCAGCTCACCCCATCCCTTGTAAACATRCTGCTTTTTGAAGGTGAACATCCTTGGGGACAACACAACTCTGCAAACTGATGAAAGAGTGCCCCAACTCGAGCAGCTTTCAAGTTGGAGCGAGAAAGGACAACCGACCAAAGTCAAAATTGCTTTGTTTTTCTGCAGAAAGCAAATGAAAGTCCCCAAGATCACTGAAGCAGCACATATCACACTCAGCCATGAATGAGCCTCAATGATTTCTAAGAATCAGGCTGCTGGCAGAGCCTCTTGGAAACGAGACAAATATCCCTGTAAGATGGCTTCTTCTGCTCCTCCTTTGCTCCAGAGGAATCCCTATCCTTACTGCATCCATTTCATTTCCTTTTCCCACAGGAGTGGTGCTTGTTTTCCCCACAATCAAAGCACAGCACGATGATTTCTTGCAATGCTGTCACTGGACAAAACCAATTCACGAGCCAGACAAGCRCAGCTACACCAGGGTTTGCTGCAGACAAAGTCAACCTAACTCTGAGCTCAGCCATCAACATGCAAAATGATGTTCTGACATCCCCAAAAATGATATGACTGCTCAAACCTGGGTAAAATCTTGCTGTTCCACATTAGTATTGGTTTTATATCCAAAATGAGCACTCTGAACAAAGGTAACACCATGTTTGCTCCGCACTGAACCTCTCAGCAGACAAATTTATTTCGTGCCTTCCTCTCCTAGGAGTGACAATTAGACAAAAAGGAGGAGCCTTGAAGGCAGAGCTGAGGTGCCCTGTGAATCCTCATTCATCAACAGCTCCCACTGGCTGCGTCCTGTGTCAAAAAGCAGATTTCTGAGCCTTGGGAAGTTGGACACTGATGGCTGTGAGGATGCTCTCCCATTAGTCATAACTCACAGCATAAACAGCCTCTAGTAAACACAGATGCACTGGGGACAGGGATTAACCCAGGGATGAGGACACTGCAATGAGTTGTTCTATATTTGCCCTCTTTCAATCTGGCTCTTGTCAGAGCAGGGAACAGACCTCACCCTAGGCAGCAGCATCTTCAGTGGAGCAGTGGTAAAAAATCAAGGTTAGAACTACCTAATGAGAGGCACAATTACAATTAGAGAGTCACTGGGGCATTGTTATTGGCCCTTTGCTTATCAAATATGACTGTTGTGGTGTCAGRGAGTGGGAAAAATGCAGGGGATGGGGAAAATACAGGGGATGAAGGCAGGGARGGGTAAAAACTTCTAAGAACACCTTGATGCTGCAGGAATACACCACCCTGCATGTGGACACTAGGACAGAGACACAGCCAAATCCGAGTGAGAAAGCTCCTGCTGAGACCCAAAACAAACTGCCACCCCCCAGCACAGCACTGCTACAAAAAGGGCTGTCAGCAGCTCCTTTCAAACAACTCTGCAGCCCTTTTCCATGCTCGGGGGGGTTTCTGCTGTCACTGCTGTGGCTCCATCCAGAYGTGGCTGCAGCAAGGAAGGAGCACTCCGGTATTTTGAACTGCAGGCATGAAACAGATGCAGCAGCCCCTGCTCCACGGGGCCATGCTTCAAAGAAAGCCCCTGGCAGTGACAAACCTCTCAGAGCTGAAGGAAGGAAGAGAAAGCTGCACAAAAGGGCAGTGGATTCTCTCCAGAGGACCCGAGTTGGTGTCCTCTCTGCACAGACTTGTGGTAGTTTAGCTAAAACAAGAGATTCCTGTGCACTGATACCACACTAAGCCAGGCATGATTAGGTTATTATTTAAATCTGCTGTCAGGCAATGCTCATGGGAACACACTTTAGCAAAAGCTAAATGAGCTCAGCTGAAATTAGACCACTTTATGTGACATTTTGCACTCAGCCATCAGTTTGCTGCAAAGTACCAATGCCACAGCATAAATCTTCCCTCTCTTCACAGGATTTCTGAGCTYCTGACAGGCATTTTCAGATTCGCTTACAGGTAAATTAACAGAGCCATCAATAAAAAAAAAAATTCTATTATGAGCACTTAGGTGGATGTTCAGCTGGCAGAGGACATTTCATACTTGTTTTGGATAATTGCAGAGGTTCCTGGGAACTTGTTTGCATAAGCATTGAGGCAAAAGAGAGCACACTCCAAATGAAGCCACAAGTTACACAGATCTACGTAAGTAGAGTCTCTCTGTTTGTATAAATTGCTTTTAAGTGCCCCAGATCTCTGCAATTCTCTGCCTGTGTGTTCTGCCCTGCTGAAATGGAGGGGAGAGATGACACAAAATGTTTCATAATGCCGAGTTTYGCTGTACAATCTCTTCTTCTTCTTCCCCTCTTCAAAAGGTCAGGCCACAGCTATTAAAGGAGCTGGATGGATAAGTGGTCATTGTTCCAGTAAAGCCAGTGCAGTAAAATATTCCATCAAGGATGAATTATCTGCCTCACTCTGCCTGCAAGATGAGAGGAGCACTCCACCCTMGTGCAATGTCCTCACAGCTCACACYTYGYTYRGGGTGCTCTGCCCACAACCAWGAYCACTCGATGGCCAAYRCAGAAGTTCCAGCAACATGGAAATGAGGTRGTAAAGCCCAAAATTGTTTCTGAAGGGACAGAAGCCCACAGAATGTGCAGGATCAGATACTTGCCTCCACCTTGATGGCACAGCGGCCRATGGCTCGCACGGCCTTGCGCACGAAGTCAACGTCCACCTCGGTGGCGTATTCCTTGAGCTCTGCCAGGACCTGTGGGGACACAGCAGCAGTGTCAGCCCCTGGGGACACTCAGGGAACAGCCCACCCTCACAACTGATGCTGCTTGGACACCACAGCACGAGCAGCATGTTCTACCATACACACCCAGCCAAACTCTGCCATCAACCTCAACCTCCGGAACCCACTGGTGTGAGTTTCAGTGTGCAATCCAAATCCAAACTGGTGTTGGTCACACTTGGTGTGCAATCCAAATCCAAACTGGTGTGGGTCACATTTAGTTGTGTAATCCAAATTCACATTGGTGTGGGTTACACTCAGTGTGCATTCCAAATCCAAACTGATGTGGGTTACAACTGGTATGTAATTCAAATCCAAACTGGTGTGGGTTACACTCGGTGTGTAATCCAAACTGGTGTGGGTTATACTGGGTGTGTAATCCAAACTGGTATTGGTCACACTCAGTGTGTAATCCAAACTGGTATGGGTTACACTCAGTGAGTGATCCAAATCCTAACTGGTGTAGGTTATACTTGGTGTAGTCTGGGCAAAGTCAAAAGGTTGATCTTGCTTATTTTCAAATTCCCCTGAACAAGAATTGGGGAAAAACAAACCAGCCCTGCCGAACCTAGAGTTTTCTGTTCCTTCCTACGCCGAAAATGCATTTGCTGTGTGCAAAGCTCTCRGTACCAACAATTTTTGATCTTTCCTTTCCTGTGCTGAGATGAACCTTTGGATCCCTAGTGAATCCAAATGGAAGATGCAGGGGAGATCTGAGGACACTSTGGAACATCTATACAGGGATTAATAACAGACTGAAGATACTTCCCCTCRTAAAACTAAGATTTATTATTTTGTCTCAATGTTTTTGCTAATGGAAACCGATGAAGGGCTAAACCCAGGACCTGCTGGGATCTTCCAGACCTTTAACTAAAAAGCTTTGTCTTCAATCACTTAGCTTCCAAAAAATTATTTTAAGAAAAGACCATATGTAATTTATATTCCCTCAAAAGCTCAATTTATTTCAGTTTCTCCTGCCAAGCATGACATCAGGGATTTAATCGTGATGTCACAAATGGATGGGGAGGGAGAGAGAAGCAGCACAAAGCCAGACAGTTCTTTGAAAAATCTCTCATCCGAGCAAATTGCTCAGAAGAATGACAAGATAAAGAGGCCATGAAGGGCCAGACTGCAGACAGATAAATCTGCAAGGAGGAGACCGGACATCTGTGTTTTGAAGTTTTATTATTTCCTTGGATGATCAACGCTGCACAGCAGCTGATGCTGCCCAAATGCTGCCCAAATGCTGAGCTAGAGCCATGCTGGTGCCTTGGTCCAGAATGGAAGCGGAGAAGCTCCACAAGCAGCACAGGAGGGTGTGGAAGCTGCCCTCAGGTCTTGTTCCAGGATATATCCCTGATAAAGCTTGTGTTGTTTTATGAATGCCTCTTCAGAAGCAGGAGGAGATTCATTCATTAGTCTGCAGATCTCAGACTGCCCTCCAGACACCACTGCCTTTCATGCAAACAGCCCACATTAYTGGGACATTATCAATTCAAATGGCTGTGGAGCTTACCAGGAGTAAAGAGAAAATTCTGAACATGTTCTCATAGAAACTGTTTTTTAAAATATTTTCCATGCCCCCAGCGCAAAAAGGGCATGAATTACCTTGCTCAGYTCCAAAAAACATCAGGAGAGAGCTGAAGAGAGTGCACCAAAATGTCACCTTAAGTGAAATTGCTCTGTGACAATTAGGATGGGACAATAATAGTACTAACCAGAGGCATTAATCATTCTGCATTAGTGTGAGGCCTCATGGCCAGGGATGCACTCGAGAACACCTCCTCCAAGGAAAGAATCTGCACTAAACCAACATTAAATACAAGAAGAATCCACACTGCAAAGCAAATCTCAGTTCAGTTTAACTCCAGCTTTGTGCTATTTCCACTCTGCAAGCAAGTCAAGCAAAAGCACGATTTTTTTTTTAGCTCTGAAGAGTGCCTGTGCAAGCGTTTAACGATTTTACTAACTTGAAATTCACACTTCAATAATGTTTGGCCTTTCTGAATGCCTCCTTTACAGGCACACCCCTCTCACTTGAAACGAGCCTCTCATTCCAGCCTCAGCACTGGCAGTGACTCATTTGACAGGAGCCATGAGTTCTCTCCTCCTGGAATTGTCATCTGTGAAACAAGATCCACCTCACGGTCACGATGCGAGCCGTGCCTTGCTATTAACATTTAAATTATGGGGGAAACTCCAACACCTCCCATTAAATAACTGCACAGTACCAGGCAGAGTGATGCCTGAAAACCAAGATAACTCCAGGAAAAGCTGCCAACAGCCACACACAAGGACCAGGAGAGGGTTTTCCCCTCCCAGAGCCCAGCAGAAGTGTCTCAGCTGACCTGGGCGATGTTTGCTTGGGAAGCCAGGCGGATCATGATGTCCAGTTTCTCCAGTTTGACATAGATGGGGTCGTTGTACTTCACAAAGAACACTTTGATCTCCTGCTTCAGGATTTCAGGCCTGTGGGGAACATAATGTTGTGTCACTCGAGAGTGGTTAAAAMCCCAAATTATTGTAATAAAAGGCATCTTTTCTTTAGAAATCCACCCAAAGGTTCACTGAGAAGCAGAATGGTGTCATTTTGACCTGGTGGATCAGGGRTGTCATGGACTCCCCATCCCTGGAAGCATTCAAGACCAGGCTGGATAGGGCTCTGAATAACCTGGAAGATGAATCCTGCAGGGAAGATTGGAACTGGGTGATCTTTAAGGTCCCTCTCAACCCAAACCATTCTACTGTGATTTTATGCCCAGGACACACAAACACCAATCTGGAGAAAGAAGTCTGGACAAAAAGATTAAAAAATGCAGAATTCAAGTCTTTCCATGGTCATATCTCTGCTTCCTCGATTTGAACTGCTGAACCARCCACTAAAGGCAATGAACAGCAGCRTTTTCAGTGAATGAATAACATCTTTATCTCATTGCAAAGCCTACAAATTCATTTCYACTCTCACTTGCAAGATGCCAGTGCACAGTAACTCAGCTTGGATAGCACTTTGTGATTGTATTCAGGGCAATCTCACCTTTCCAGCGAGGAACAGCAGCAATAAAACACAAATGTGGGAGTAAACTGTGGAAAACAACCCAACCCAGGGCACACCAGGATGTCACCAGGCTGGTGATTCTGTGCTGGACAGAATAACACAGCACACTGAGATCCTGCAGGTCACTGTGAACTGTTCCTATTTGCCATTTTGATTTATAGAAGGCAATTGTGACTACTCATAAAAAGATGGTGAAGGGAGGCAGGTAAAGAAATACTGCGTGAAATTGGTGTCACAAGTACGCTGCAAAAGAAATCAATCCAGGCTATCRGAGTCATGAGACTGTTTAATCTGTCTCTCAAGGGATCTGAGCCTAGATTAAAAAAAATTCTGTGTATGTGGCCATATCTGGAGGTCTGAGATAACCACATGGCCTTTGACAGGGCAGGAGTAACACCCCCAGAGCCTTTACCTTTTCTGCACAATCAAGTTGATGTTCCTCAGGGCGACATACTGAACTTCAGGCTCTCCAGAYAGCAGGGTCACCAGTGGAGGGGCAAGTTTCTTCAGCAGCATGTTGTAATARTCAGAATCCTTGGGGAGGAGCTCCAGGAACTTCATCAGGACCTTCACTGCTGACAGCACCACGGCYGAGTTGGCGTGAGACAGCCGGGGGGTCACCCGCTCACAAATGCTGGGGATGGAGGCATGAGAAAGGGCTCAAATGGATTTCAGAACATCAAATAGCTCAAATTTAAATGTAGGAGATTGCACATGGCTGAAGAAAGCTTCTCAGACACCTCTTGGATTTGGTTTTGCTCACAACGAAGGAGCAAAGCCCTGTTTGCCTGAATGCAGCAGGAAGCAGATTCCTCTCACAGCTTCAAGTTTCCTCTCACAGCTTCAAGTTTCTCTCCTGCCACAATCAGCTCAGGAACAATCCTGCCTTTTCCTGGTGCTATTCTGTTTGTGTGATCTCGTCTGTCACTTACAAACATAACTTTAACAAAAAAGCGACTGGAAAAACACTTTAGCCTCCMTATAATCACTCGGAGGTGATACACGCTCCTGGCTAGCTGGGGGGAGTTGCTGTCATTTCAACAAAAAAAGATTTTTGTTTCTCTGAATACACAGGGGAAGAGTGACCTAAATATCCTCCCCAATCTCAGCTTCACCACTTGCCATAATGGATCCTGTAACCAAACAGCATCCTCAACAGCCCATCCCAAAAAGAAAGGAAGTTTGGGTTCATATGGTCTCTCTTACAGCATCTGTCAAGTTTCTTCCCACTCCCTCCTGCACATTGCTAACCCAGAACAATCTTATTCCCATCTGTGCCTCCTGAAGTTTCTTYCCCTGAAAGATTTGCTTTCAGCCATGCTGGAAGGGAAGCACCAGAGCTCAGGGAAGAGCAGAGAAATCCAAGGCAGAGCTGGGGCAGCTCCAGCTGCCTCTGCCCAAGGTCACCTGCACATCCAAGCTGCTTCCCCTCTCTGTGCCTCAGTTTCCCCAYGCACAGGGGAGTGACATCARCATTGTGTGTGCTTTTCCTGSAGCTGTSTGAAATAAGGCAGGCTCCAGGAGATAAACTCCACACAAAGGAGCCAAAGTTGCTCCTGCCCATGCAATTTGAGGCACCCTCCTCAGAGGAATTGCAGCTGAGGAACTGGGACATGCTCACAGCTGTTCAGTGCAGTGGATCCTCTGCCAGAGCTGGGATAACACCAGCCTCACACCCTGGAGATCTCTGCRGGTTCCTAGCACTCATTAAGAGCTGTTTCTGGCACAGAGACAGAACACAAGGGGGAAGGTGGTGGGGAAAAAGAATCAGCAAAGCTAGTGGCAGGATCCTTAGAAACAGCGCATTTTGTGYATCAAGAAAAAAGTCAATGAAGAAACCCATTAAATTCAAGCTGGCCTGTCCTGGATTTTGCACGTGGGTTTGTGACCCTTCCTCCCCCTCCATCCCCACATCATCTACATTAAATACATCATCTCAGAGTCTTCCTGTTCCAAGCTACTTTTCTTGCTGATTCCTTGTTTTCTTGGGAACACAATCTGACTTTTTGTGATTCTGGAGAYAGATGAGGAAGAGGCTTGAAATGCACAAACCAACACCCCATTACCCAAACCCTAACCTCCTCCAATTTAGGTTTAGTGATTGCACCTAAAGGTAAAAGCACAAGGGTGAATTTGGAGCAACAAGAAAAAGAATTTCTTACCTTTATTTTCACTTCTATCATATCACAGACTAGTTTGCAATCGGAAAAAACTATTCCAGTCTCAGACCTGTAGTACTTTGAAAACCCACAAACCTATAAAAGCCTCTTTTCTCTCAAAGCAGCAAAACCAGATATGAAAGTTCTGCTTTAAAGCAGAAAATCCTCCAAACAGTGCTGCCACTGTTACAGGTTTGGTCTTGGGCTGATCCCTTCTTAGTAGTGCCAGTTCCCACAAGAACCAGCCTTTTACATAGAAAAAAAAATATAAAAGATAAATGGAGAAAACGGTTCTGCAGAGGGAAGGAGCAGGTTTCCAGCATCAGTCCAAACTATCAAAATAGCTTTGCTTTTRAATCTAATTTATCAAGTCTTATTTGTGCTGCCACAGTGCCCTGTCATCCCAAACCCTTTCAGAGCYGTAAGACCCCCAGCAGACCCCAAAAAGCCACCACACCTCTGAGCTTCCCGGTCATCCTTGGGGTTGTAGTTGGACAGGCAGTCCAGGATGAAGATCTGYCCCCACTCAGTGCACTCGTTCAGAGCTGTCAGCAGCTTGTTGATGTTCTGAGGGTTCAGATCCAGCAGGTTGCTGTTGGGGTGGGACTCGCTGATCTCTGACAGAGCGGCCACGGCATTTGCCACCACCTGGGAGAGGAAAGGAAGAGTTCCCTTTTAGCAGAGCCTGAGGGACTGGGCAGGGATTCACCTGGGGCTGGGTACATGTGGGAAGCAAACTGGGAGATTTATCAGCTGTCACATCAGTTATCTGAGCCTTCTGGGGTGCAGTGCAACCCCACAGCCACTCTGGAGAGCTCCACTGGGAGGAACTGGGACCCAGAGAAGCAGCCTAGAGAGCCCAAAGCTTCACAGGGAGAAACTGGGATCCAGGGATGCAGTGCAACCCCACAGCCAACCTGGAGAGCCCAGAGCTCCACTGGGAGGAACTGGGACCCAGGATATCACAAGAAACTTTGCTSTGGAAGGAGCTGGAGATGGGCACCCACAGGGAATAACCCCACCTTGCCTTCCTGCAGGCTCYAGATCCCCCTGCCCCAGTTCCAGGAGATGCTCAGCTTTACCCTCAAGTTCTCCAAATCTTCAATTGCCCTATTTATTCAGGAATGTGTCRCTCTTGCCCAAATTCCCCTTGGCAGCCCCACGGCACATGGCTTCACAGCAATCCCAAAATGAGCTGGCAGGTGCCAGGCAGCCTCCAGCTCTGCAGCAGCACTGGCAGGTYACACAGTTTGAGARCAAACAAACAATTCCCMTAAAATGGGCAACTCCTGCTAAAATTTTAACAACACATATTTAATTTCAAACCATCTCCATAACATCCTTTTGCTTTATGGAGCCACAGCAAAGCGAGCACTCCAGCAGAACTCATCCCTGAAAATATCCTTGCTGCAKTTAGGACTATATAAGGTCTTCTCTTTTCCAAGCACAGAGGAAAAGAAGCACAGAGAGGAGGTCCAGGGTCCAGCCTGACAAGAACGAGAAATGGGAGTGCAGCACAAATTTCTGATTCTTAGTTCCACACCCAAATTCAACAGTTATTCCAAAAGACTCCATGGGAAGATTTTTTTTAAATAGAGGAGTTGCAGAATATAGAGACAAAACCAGAAAATTTGCAGATAAGACTAAAATCTTATTTGTTTAACTAACAGGAGAAGGGATGTAAAGCTGAGTTTGACACCCAAAACTAAAAAGGCATTTTCAGGACATTTTACAGTGTACATCATGTCCAGCCCAACTCCCAGTAAATACCTGCTCAAATGAAGATTTATAGTGTTATTTTCTATGAGATTAAGGCAAAGAAACATCTTATCTGAAATCATCTGATTGTTTGGATGACTAAAGATGCTTTTGATGCAGTACAATGAAAACAAGAACAGCATGCCCAGAACTTTCCCTGCGTTGTTCCCATCCCTGCTTGTCATTAAACCAATATATYCCAAAGTCATTGCACAGGCACAGTAATGTTGATTGTTTTGCATTTCACACCTAGAGGTCAGAGATAGGATTTGGATCCAAGATTTTATGAATTTCATTAGTTGAACGAGCCTTCTGTCACCAAAATCATTAGCAATCAGCGCTGCTGTCTTCTTGTACTGTTTTAATGAGGAACTTAGTAAGACAGGCTGCTTATTCTCCTYGTTATTTAATTTGCCTAATTCCTGAATGGTTAATGCGACACAGCATAGAAAATAAGTAAATACTTCCAATATCTTTGGAAGTTTACAAGTGATGACAAATCACAAAAGCGAATGCAAAGTTCAAAATCCTTAAGAAAAAGCACTTATAAAATGAAACTACTTTGGCAAAAAAAGTTTGAGCTAACAAAAAAATTTACAGAGCCAAAGCATCGGAGAAAGGGACCTGTCAGTTGTACTAAGGGACAGGCAAATGCACTCACACTGCCAGGCACTGCCTTTGTTACAGTAATTGATACATTAGAACTAATATAGAATTACAGAATTGAGACTGGAGAAGACCTCCAGGATTGTTGAGTCCAACCATAAACCCAGCACTGCCAAGCCCACCACTAAACCATGTCCCCARGTGCCACATTTGGTTGGTTTTGGACACTTCCAGGATATCCTAAACCCTGGGGCAAGTAYGAGTCAAAGCAGCTGGGGTTATGTTTCCTTCCTCGCAGGATCCAYGGAGTCTATCACCGAGGATGCACAGAAATGCTGCTCCCGTGGGTGAAGAACAGCAGCTCTGACCMAGAGACCCAACTGTGAATGAGGTTTCGCTCTTAGGATCTTCTAAATCCTCTTTTCGGGTATTAGGGTGTCMGCAAGAATGCAAGTGTCCAAACCAAAGCTGAGGATGGGACACCATCCAGGATAACTAAAATTTCCCAGACTCTTATTAAAATAAAAAAACAACCCCAAACCTCTACGCTTCGAGTTACATTACAGCTCTAACAAGGACCCAAGCAATCCACTCAGAATTCTATTAAAGGATCCATGAGGAAATGGCAGAAGGAAAGATGGACTTAAAGAACGTGGGCTGTGGTCTCCTTGGGTGTCAGAAAAAGGACCAGGAGGGGCTGTGAAACATCTGCCAGAGGAGCTGGGATCCACAGTCTTTAGTCCACACTTAAATCTGGTCCTCGCCTCCCACCTCAGCACCACAGTGCTGCTGTCAGCTCAGGGACAGGGAGATAAATGAAGAAAAAAGGGGGTAAGGGTGGGGATGGGGAATATTTTCAAACTTTGAGCAAGACGTATTAAATAAGGGACGTGCTGGCTATTTGCACTGACCATATTGATGTGTTAGGGCATTATGGGATGCCAACAAAAACAATTAGCATTTTCAAGACCTTTCACAGAGCCMCAGCACAGCTGAAATGCAAACAGCTCCCAGGAAGCCGTCCAACACAAACACTGGATGGAGAACACACGCTCACCTCTTCCCTGGCACTGCCAGCAGCTCAGTCAGGAATGGGAACACGAAGCCAGCCCWGCACGATTCCATCCCACAGCTCCTRCTCTGCCAACAGCTCCCACCAAGGGAGAGGTCAGCTCAAAGACTGAAGTGTTCTCCACTAAGAGTTATCATCCTGTACTGAGCTGTGGAAGCTCAACTCTGCTGCAGGGAATGTGGATTAGATCAAGGTGAACCTCACCACCTCCACTTGTCAGATCTGATTCCCTTCCTCAGGTGGTCAATGCTAAAGGCAAAAAAAACTCCCAGGTACCAGAGAATTTAATTGTTCTCCACACACTTGGTGCATTTACTAATCAGTTATGGGATCTCAGGTTGCTCTGTGCTGAATCCCAACAGYGTTTCCCCCAATAAATTGTGATGCAGAGAGTGTAAAACACAGCATGTTATTGGACATTTGTCTGGACAGCTCACAGAAACACAGAGGCAGAACAGCCACACCTGAAAAAGCTTGGATCCAGCATGAGGAAGAAGAAACGCTACAGGAAGGAATGAAAAACTGAACAGAACCTAGAATGTAACAGGGAGAAGGTATGGAAAAACGTCCATAAAGAACCATTCAGCACCAATTCTGGTATTACATCACCTGCTAATTCAGTGTGTACTTTGGCAGTCATGGAAGTGGCACTGGAAACATTTATAAAGATGGGTTTTGGCCGCAGAAAACCTACAACATCAAAGCTGAACCTTAAGTCTTCAGCTCGATTGACACTTCTTCCTTAACACAGCAACACAACATCATAAAGTCCCACTGCATTAAACAGCAAGAGCAAAGTGATAAGTTAAAGAGAAAATAACAACTTCTTGTAAAATAAAAGATGATGGAATTGCTGGGGACATATAAAAGTAAACTAAAGCTTTACAAATGGTGTAAAACCAAGAAACTGGATAAGTTTCACAGGCTGGTGGGAAAAAAAAGCTTTAAGTTTCTTTAGCAAACAAAGCATTCTGTTTTTCAAGACATGCACCCAGTTTATTTTGATGAGAAACCAACCAGGAGTTGTATAATTTATCCCACAGATTGGAAGAAGCAGATGAAAAGAACACTAACTAACAGGTGGTGTAGTCTTGAGCTCTCAAAAATAGTGAACAAACTGAGGTCAACTCAGTAGCCACAGATATGTGAGYCCAAACAACTAATGAACAGGAAAAGCTTTTAAAGTTTCTAATTCTAAGGTTAACTCCACTGCAAAATGCCTCCTCTGACTCACAATTAAGAATACCAACTTTAAGCTAACAGCTACCAAACAAGAATCTGCCTAAAAATCCCCATGAAAATAAAAATGCAGAGCAGATTGAAGAATTAATAATAATTAAGAATAATAACAGGTCCCTGGCTTGCTGATGTGAATCAATTCACCCTGGGTACATTCTGACATTATTCAAATGCAGCCACAGCAGCATCCCTTTGGAGCACAGATGAGCCGAATGACAATAAACCTGCTTTTGGCTGGAATTTCTCAATAAATTAAGCTCTTGGAGAAGCATCATTGGGATAACTAAAATCTCCCAGGATTTATTAAAATAAAAAAAAACGAACAACCAACCCCAAAGCTCTACGCTTCGAGCTACATTACAGCTTTAACAAGAACCCAACATTTTTAAATCCACCTCCAGACAAACTCCCTCTCTGCAGCCAGAGAGACCAGAGCCGACCTCGCGGGGAGCTGCAGAGGTAGGAGAGCTGATTTCCAAGCGATTCCTTCTGGCAGCTCCAACCTTTAGCTCGGAGCAAATGGTAGAAAACACAGCAGCAAGGAGGGAAGGGGGTGGGTGAAAACCTGCGTGTCTGCCTGGCAGCCCACAYGGAAAAGCTCTGAGGGGGGACGGGAGGGAAACTCGGCACATCCAGAATGCTGAGCAGTCGAAGCAATCAGATTATTTCCCTAGCATTCCAGGCTAATTGGAAATTAAACCAAGTGTGTAATGGAGTTAATGAAATACAATGTTCTGCTGCTTAAAACAGGAACCTCTGGCTTGCCACGCTGTTGAAATGAAGCGAAAACGAAGAAAAAGGGGGAAATGAAGGGGCTCAAGGAAGAGGTGGAGGCGCCTGCCCTCAAGGGAGCCAGGCACCACGAGATGTTTCTGAGAATGGAGRGGTGCTGACATTGCAAAGAGCACTCTGGGCTTGCAGGGTACTTCCATTCAGAGCATCCAGGGATGGGTATTCCACAGGGACATCTTTT